GCAATTAGAATTTTACACGGCTTAATCTGACGACGTTTATTTTAAAAATACTTTACAAGATGAAACAAACAACAGGTGATTTATCTTATTTTTCAATTCAGTCGTTAGTCTGCAAAGATAGACTATTGATTGATTTAATGTACTTTAATATTGCAATAGCCTTTACTCATGCTGCTTATCTCAATCAATAATGTAACTTTTATTTTGGAAGCACTACTTGGGTAAAATTCCACCTGGGTCTAGATTTACTCTATTTACGTAACATTTCTGAGTGTCCAGAATCGTAATAATCCTTGCATTTGATATAGTGCCTTTCACGTCAGGAAGAACGTCTCAAAGCGCTTCACGGGATTCAACTGATAGGATGGTTCAAGTTAGACAAGCAGCAGGAAGTTTGCCAGTCAGCGTTAGCAACGGCAAGCTGCATAATTTTAGCGGGTTAAACTCCAGCAGAACCCCAATGCGCACTGTCTTATTCCCACAGGTTAAGTCGCCCTGTTATCTAATACTTTCCAGGATTAGGTGACTTGGATGCATCGTAAAGGGGAGAGAGCGTGCCCTGCAAAATCCGGACAAGCGGAAATTTCCGATGCATATGTGGCGTTCTCAGTAGATTGGATATTCTTAAGCACGTTTTACATATGCATCAGACACCCATCTGATCAGAAAAAATCTTCCTATCTTGTCCTATCTTTCAGTTTTCCTCCGAGCCACCTACAAAGTACTTACACCCTTTCTTTTTGGTGTCTGTTTCACTCACTAAACGTTACGCTGTCTCCCAGCCCTAGCAGTTGGAAAGAAAGTAAAAACAGACACATAAGCAAATGAATTATTTTGTGACCTGCAGCATTGGACTGATTCCTTAGAGGTTTGTTATTTGCAGCTCAGATAGTCTAACTACTGGAGCAATTCTTCACTGCAGATGGTTTTGACAGACTGTCTGTGCTTTATGATGCTGTCTGCAGCAGGGCCGCACTGTAAGTGAACACTGCATGTCACTCATTAAATTACTTCTTTATTCTCTGCTGGGGTGCAAGTATCGAAGGCCTTACTGTTATTAATCCCGACAGGACAAAAAGGTTTCTGCACAGTACTGCGCTTTCTAGATCCCTGTGTGAGATGCATTTTAAGTTAGTCCCACAAACTGTGTCAGAAAACGCTGTGATAACGAGATAGCGTGGAATGGTTTCGATAATGATGTACATTTGCATGTTTTATGGGAATACAGGTCATGTAGGTTATCTGATCTCTGTCATGGAAAAATCGTTGATTTGCTGTTCAGAAAGCAGCTCTGCTGGTCTAGAGATCATTTTCATATTCTTTATTTTATTTTTAAAATTTCTTAAGTTTAATATTTCACCATTTAGTTTTTCCTGCTTACGTGAGCTAAAGTTTACAAAGGCATTACACTAAGTGACGCTGATGTTTTCAACACTCTTCCTATATAGACTTGTCAACATAAAATGACAGTATTATGGTATGAGCACAGTAGTCCACTCGTTAAATCTAAATAGCAATTTCTGCAAAATATTTATATGGATAAGAGTGTGTAAATCTAACTTGCGTTTCTTCAGTTACTTCCTCAGTCTAAACAAAATGCATCAATGCAATATGTTGAGTTTTTCTTGAAGCGAGCAACGATTCATCCACTGTCCTGGAGTTATTATGCATCAGTGTTTCTTTGATACGCTTCACTCTCTTAATGTATACCTCCAATCAACTGTACTCCAACAGCCACCGAAGTGGGGATTGTGGCTTGAACCGCAGAGCCGAGAGCGCTACCGATTGAGCCAGGCTCTCTGGATCGAGTTCCAGAGATTGAGAGATTCCAGAGTTCCAGAGATTCTCGAACGAGATCGAGATCCAGAAAGCAGCAGTAAAAATGGTTGCAATCTTGCACACTATGGGACAATCTTCTGGTGGTACTATCTCCCCCCTCCTCTTGTCAGATAGGCAGAGAACCTGTGTTTTTTGCCACTACCTTACGCCGCATGCAGCACCCGACATAACAGCTTGCATTTATTTTGTATCTTTCACATAGGTTAATGCTTCAGAGCAAAACCTGGTCAAGCTATTGATAAAGGTCAACACAATAATTATTTGCTGACTATACATACGCTGGTGAAGGAACAGAAGTAAGCACTCCTTAAAAATGAATTCCAATTGACAGATTGATGGAACAATCACAATAATTGCAAACCGGACCTATTATACAGCTTCTTTGAATAATCAATCAGACAGTCAAAACATCAACATGAACCTCTGCTCAAATTAAATGCTATCATGCATGAGACAACCACTGTATTATTTCTGATTAATGGTCATTTGGCAAGATTTGTTTTCAACAATAAAAGTTTAGTTTAAAAAGAATTACGAGGAGGCAATGCCAAGCCTACTAAAATGTTAATTACCAGGAGCAAAATAATTATCTCCAATGACTTTGGGTGGTAATATTCATTTTGCATTAATTTATGCATAAACTCCCCCAAGATGGGATTCTGAAAGTTAGCCATTTTACTTTAAATAGGCAATTAAATTAATTTTACACTTTAATGCAAATCATTCTGTACATAATCTACTCAAGAAAATTAGTCCAATTGTTCCGCTTCAGTGGAGTAAAAGGCAACAGTTTCATTGCTGCAATCAACAACGATTTTTAATGTGCAAGCTAAATAGCAAGAAAAGCATCTCAATTTATTAAGCTACGTGTTGAGTTTCATTAATCCGCAGCGAGAAACAAACCTGCAAAACTGGCACTGAAGCTGGTTTGTAGAGATGCTCGTGCATAGATTTTTTTATACACCAAACCAGTCATTGCCAAGGCTGAGGTGTTACCAGTGCAACCTATCAATCGTCCTAGGTATCCCTAGGATTAGCATTTACTTTGGAGTGTTAGAAAATGGTCCTCTGTGGATTGGAAATCTTTGCAAATTAACATGATTGACCGTATGCATTACATGTCATGCATTACAATTTTGCCTACGATTTAAAGCAAATCAAGAAACTATAAACTGTAGCTATAAAAACTGCATTGTAAGTCTACAAAAAAGGAAGCGACCATCAATCCTGATTGTTTAACAATAACACAAAGAGCACTATTTGAGGATACAGAGAACAATATTTAATTTAAGGGAATATTTGAGGACAAAGAATTGAGAAAAGTAAATATAGAACAAAACATGTTAAGAAAAATGACCACGTATTGTATAACTGCAATACAATGGCAGCCATTGAGACGGAACTATTGATGTATCTTAAGTGCAGTGCCAGTATCTTGCATTTGACACAGCACGTTATGTTTAAATAACTCAAAATGCCTACTCAAAATGAAATTTTTTTTCCTGTAAAATGCAGTGAGTGTAGCATAGTATCTATTTGTAAGATGATGTGGCAGCCAATTTGCACACAGCAACATTCCACAAATGGGCATAAAATGAAGACCTTTTTATTGGAGGTTGTTGGCCGGGGGATTGGGAGAAACTCCCTTTTGAATAGAGGCGATGGGTCATTTAATGCCCATCTGAACAAGCGGATGGGACCTTGGTTTAATGTCTGAAGGGCAACACCTCCTATAATGTAGCTTCTTCTCCCAGCACTACATTGGGGTATCATCCTAAACTGAGTTCAAAGGCTTAACATGGTACTTAAGTCCACAACCATCTGACTCAATGACATTATTTAGGATCAGGATAGAACAGGTGGAATGCTTCAAATTGTTAATCGCTTATTGGTCTCTGAAATGCTTTTAATTGTTATTTGAAGACAAAGGCAATGCCTGATAAACAGGGGGAGTTTGCCATCCCTTTCAGGTTTTATTGTTATTTTCAAGAACACAATGTGGTTGAGAATTTCTCACCTCCCGATCCCCCCCTCTCTCTCTCTACCCAACCCAACTGAGTGTTCTCTTTGAGGAAACCAAGTGCCATTGTAAGTCGGGAGACCAAAATTTAGACCTTCCATTGCTCTGACCAGATTTCCTTATTGCTGTAGTTTCTCAACTCTTGACTTAATTCAGCATTTTTTTATTTGTTCAGTGAATACTTTTTTTTAAATAGTTTGATATCCACTGAACCTTTTGACATCCTTATATTTTCTAGTTTATGTCTGAAGATTAAACACCATTTTCTACTTACAATTCAGTCGTTAAATACTATCACTGTTGTCTTGTATAAAGAAGCATTTCTGATGTGCTGAAACAAACTGGGCCTGATTTTGTTTCAGTTACAATTAACTTCAAGCTTCTAGATCAAAATACCCTCATTTGTATTTTGATTTTAATTTAAAATGCATTTGATGTTATGTAGAAGACAACAAAGAGGTAAAATGTCAAAAGATTAATGTTAAGTGGAAGCTGTGACAAGTCACACATATCAAATTATAATAGTGAAGCCTGTAAAACTAGGGACCGAAAGTGAATTTCCAGTTAGAATAATGTTTTGCTTTTCCCAAAGATAAACATGTAATTTCGCTGGTGTAGTTTATGTGAAGACAGAACGTGTTTGAGTGTTTCACAGGAACTCTGTCGTAAAGCATGAAGGGCAAAGGCTGGCAATTGAAAACAAGAACAAAACATTACTATTGCTGGTTCTCCATAGAGATGTAGACAATTAAACATGGGGGAATGTTTGAAATTCTCACAAGAAGCCACATTCTTGATGGAGGGACACCTTCAGTGTCAATATGACGTGATATCCAAAACTAAGACACTAAATTGAAAAGTATGAACAAAAATTTAACAAAGTTTTGGCATCTGGTACTTTCAAGTCATGAACCAAATCAATTCATTAAAATGGGCAAAAGTAAACATATAGTATTGTGTTTTGACTGTATTTTGGACTTAATATCTAAGTAAAAATAAATCTGTGATGGTTTCTGAATCAATAGGCATACACAGAGAACACACCACCTTTGTAAAAATTAAAAACATTGTTTGTCCATAAGAGTTAATTGCAATCTTTGCAAGCCATTGAACTGTACAACATAGGATGAGCAAAATGAGCTAGTTTGGAAAACAAAAGTATTTTTATTAGAAGCAAAAATTTAACATCCAGTTTTCCAGTGTATACATAAATATACCCAATCATCATTTACTGAAAATCTTTGCCCAAATATCAAAATGATAACCAAATATACAATCAATTTATAAAGTCTCGGGAACATCGTCTTCAGGTGAATCGACCTTCTGGGAGTCTTTCTAACAATAAAAACATTTTTTTCAATGAAACTTCTGTCCATCAGTACTTAAATTTTCAAACCAGTTCATGTCACTGATCAAAAAAAAACAATGATCCCCAAATTTGATACTTCAATATAAATTCGATTAAAGTAACATTGCATTTCAGTTCAGCCTGTGGCAGGCAGTTAGCAGAAACAATGCAGCCTCTTCTTAATCCTAAGACAAAATTGATCTTAATAATGAAGGCATTTCACTGAACAAAACCACAGAGACTGAACTCCACGGAGGTGAGTGAACTAAAAACTCAAGTCAGTGGTCACTACATGCGTCGTGTCTTTTGTCGTTTGGCTGGTCTCTTTGCCTCTTCAGGGTTAGCACCATCTGTACCACTTTGACTGAGTGCCCGTACACCCTGCAAGTGATTTGTCAACTGCATCAGCAGTGGGATGAGCTGCAGGGAGAAATGCATAGGGAAAATACAGTTACTTTATTATTTCAAAAGATTTAATGCTTGAATTTGACTTCTTAACAGGAACTAGATCCTCGTAATGTAGCTGTTCTTTGAATCAGCTTCAGTTCTCAATCAGAATTATATCATATGACAGAGCAGACGGCTTGGGATTTTTAATAGAATGTATCCATTCTTAACAGCAACACATAACAGCAACATAGCAGTAAATAAGCGAGGACATACTGTCTAGCTAGAGGAATAGGAAACTAGAAAAAAATCTCAAATACAATGATGAAAATAATCATGCACAAAAAGAATTTAAGTATTTGGGTTCTGCACATCTTTGTGCTCATCTACCTAATCTGGTACTGTCAAATTACAGAGCGTGAAGAAGAGTGCTCTTTATGTCAGTAAAACTGTACTGAATCAAAGCAGTAAAATGGCAATTTCTTTCCCACTGAAGCCAGCCAAAAATCCGCAAAGCTAATTTTAAGGATTTATACTTGGAAACTAAGCAAACGCACAAGCTCCCAAATATCAATATTTGACAATGAGGAAGCTCAGTGAATTGAATATTGATTTCACCATTTGGACTTTCGTTTAACGATGGTTAGCAAAGCTTCCCAGATTATACATCATCAAATCTGTTTAAAAATAATGCTCAATTGAAGAAATCATAAGCTCCAGTCTCATAAGTAAGAAAAAGAAGGAACGTTTTTACAGTACCGATTACATTTGAATTTCAATGTAATTTGCAGTAATTACTGTCTGAGAATTACTCTGAGGTGCTGTCTGGCAAACCCAACAGCCATTTTGCAAACAGCAAAGTCCCACAACAACCACAAAGTCAAAAACAATCTAGAGGATTATTGGCCAAGATACCAGAATAAAATGTAACTTTCAAATAGTGTCATGGGACCTTTAATGTCCACCTGTTTAAGGCAGACAGTTTCATATCTCATTCAAACTAACTTTTCATTAGATTTGACCTATTTTATGATATGTTGAGCCCAATTTACACTTTGAAATGCAGATGTTTTTTTTCATTGGAGTATTTCATCTTTTTCAATAGTTTAGACAATTTCTGGACAATACTAGAGTAAGAAATGATGTCTACATCCCAGAAAATCTACAATATGAAATGCATTTTCAATTTTAAGTGCTTTAGACAGAAGCTTACTTTATCGTGATTGTAACCTGCCAGTAGCAGGAGCAGAGTAAGAGGCAAAGCAATGTACGATCCCTGAGCAACATCCTGCTCTGGCAGCTTCCTCTGAAAAGAGACAACGTATAATTACATAGAATGTTCCTGCACAGAAACACGCCATTTGACCCAACCTGTCGGTAATGGTGTTTTTACTCCACCTGAGCCTCCACCACTCCTAATCCCATCTCCTATACCCCTCCATGTAAAATATTGTTTACAATATTAAAAATTGTGAATCAATTGCAACAGAAATGCTGGATGAAGAACTGGCAACACACTGGGATTGCTTCAATTATACTTAAACATAAGCATACAGGTAGGTCTGTGACCCAGGAAGATTTCTTTTCAAAGAAATATGTAATTTATGTTCACACTCTCACAACCTCTCCCTTCAAAGAGGATATTCCAGTATGATGTTGAACTAACTATTGAATTGTTCAAATGGGATAATAAAATTAAAAAGAAAAATCATTACAAATTTGTGTAAAATGCCCTCAACTGCACTTACTTTTGACTTTTATAAAACTTGCAACAGCATAATGTCCTCGTAGAACATTATAAAACACTTCCACACTTCATTAAAAAACTCAGCACTTCCACCATAACCACAAAACGTTTGATGTAACTGTGGCGATGATGTGAGTGGTCTCGGTAGGTATTTGCTTCCAACTAAAGCATTGGTTTATAGTCCTCTAAAACGGTCCAAAGTTCAAGTAACCAGTTACATGGATAGAAATGACTATCCATGGTTACATACTGCACCTCACTGAGCCAGTCCAGAACCTTGGGGTCTTGTTTGACCCTCGACTATCCTTTCTATTCCACATCTGTGCCATGACCCACTCTGCCTTCCCCCACCTCTACAACATCGCCATTGTCTCACTCCACAGGCCGCCGAAACACTCATATACGCTTTCATTTCATCGAGGCTTGACTATGCAAACCCCTTGCGTGTCGGTCTCCCCAACTCCTCCCTCCTTAGGCTACAGATCAGCCAGAACTCTGTAGCCCGTGTTCTCTCCCACACCAGGCTCCTTGACCCTATCGCCCCCACCCGACTCCACTGGCTTCCCATCATACAGAGTTCAAGATCCTGGTCCTCACCTTCAAAGCCCTCCATGGTCTTCCTCCCCCTACCTCTGCGACCTGCTAACCCCCTACCATCCTGCCCACTCCCTCCTGCCTACTTCACGTCCTCTGCCTCACCCGCCCCACCATTGGCACTCTGCCCCCACCCTCTGGAACTCCATCTCGCCGTCCCTCCGCCTCATTCCCTCCCTCGCTTTCTTCAAGACCCATCTCCCCTGCTCTTGTGAATTCAATCATCCTGCTTCCCCACTGCCCTCCACCCTCCCTGATCCCGACCCCCAGCTAGGGTCCACAAAATTCGGAAAAGAAATCTGTCAGTTGCTTACCGTAGGATTGAACAAAAATGTGATGTGTTTGTGATAGCCTGTGGCACTGAAAGATATCTGGGATAAGTTGTACTCATACAATGACTTGGGTAACGTAGATTCCAGCACAACTACATAATTCTGTGAAGAAACACAACAATGCAGGTAACTATCACCCTCTCAATATATAAAACACTTTACAGTTGCATATAATTTATATGCTGTAAATATATAGAAGAGTAATTTTACTTTACCTCGCCATCTCTCAAAAGTGGTGGGAAATGGAAAAACAGTGACTGACCCAGTGACACGGTTTGAATGGGGTTGTCTAGGTTTTCACTTTTGTACAGCACCACCTGAATGGAATAAATACATATCCATTTTAGTGTTTAAAATAACTTCAAAACTGTGCAAATACTCAAATCAGAAAAAGTATTGTTGCTAAAATAAAATTCAATTCCCTATTTAATAATAGGAAGCATGTTTGCAGCAGCATTACAATACAGAATTATATCAGGTCGGGAGGAGGTTCCAAGGCGCTGGACAGTTGGGGATTTGGACCATGAGTGGCCAAGTGGAGCACCAACAAAAACTGTTTGGTCACACGTGATCACCCACTCCACTGAATTAGGGAGGAACCAGGCATCGACACTCAGTAGAAATTGTCATCAGCAGGCTGCCAGGTCTTGTTTGTTTTTGTGTAGGAACCAACTTATAAGAAATAGGAGCAAATACCTTCATACACATAGAAGGTAAAGAAACTGGGGAGAACAAAAGAAAAAACATTGGGAGGCTATACCATTGGAAATAAACCAATAGACATACCCGCAAAGTGGAAAGATGCTCTGGCGAAGTGTTGATGTTGCCACTTAAATCAAACTGATTAATTTGTCGGAATGCAAGAATATTCACACCATCAATATCACTGTTGCCAACCTGTACAAAACCAAGAAAATATTGGATAGTAAAAGAGGTTTGGACTAAAACATCTCAAAGTATTTATTTGGAAGGTTAGGATGCATCAAAAATAAGAAAATTATGTTGAATAAAATAATTTAAGTCAGCCCTCAGGTACAAGCTTGACATCACCTTGCTTACAAAACAAGCTGGAACTGCAAAGCCTCTACATGAAGTCAGAATATGCATTTTACAATGGTATAAAGCTTACTGCTAGGAATGCAGGAAAGGAAGACTGAAAGAAAAATTGCTACACCAATGTACAATGATTTAAAAGAAGGGGTAAATGTTATTTTATTACTGATCGTTTAAATTGAAATGATGACCTACAAAAAAAAATTCACTCTTAACTAACCTCTATAGCCCGATACTGTGGCAGAGCTCTTTCAATGTGGTCATTGCCTTCAAGTTTCAACTGGATGTGGTAAATGCAACTTGGCTAAAATGGATAAAAAAAAACAAATGATAATCAGTGATTATAAAAACATTATATTGCATTCAATTATATACAGGCAGATGTATTAGTGGGAAGTCACAGTAGCCATTTACTGTCTATCCAATCCGCTTCGAAATGTTTAAGGTGGAATAACATCGGGTGCAGTAACATCAAATAAGTGACAAACAGCAATGGTTTTCCAACACACTGTTACAAAGAGGCAGAATGTCAGTTCAAGGCTAGGTTCTGTTTTTAGAAAGTCCTGTGAGAAATTGTTAAATCCACACAATTTCTCCATGGCAACAGTCGAGAAAGTAAAATATCCTTCAGAGAATAAAGGAATTATTTTTAAAAAATCGAAGTCAGACAACATTAAGATGATCAGACTGGTCTCTCCAAAAAAANTGCATCATTGCTCAAATTCTAGTTTCAAAATCAATTTACTATATAAATTATCCATGGAATGGTTGGCAATTATTAAATAACGTTAAGTATTAATTGTGTATAAGTTATGCAGTATGAAAATGTAAAATGCTGCAATGTGAAAGACATTCAAGAAATTCAGAATTAAACCAATTTTCCACCACCCTATTTTATTTACATCACTTAATTGTCAGCTATTGTTTTAATATACTTATCCAATGAAGTATTTAATCATGTAGTTTTTAAAAAGAACAATATCTTCTCTAAGAGTTTTAATAATACGAATGAGCACTGTATGAAGTACTCCTTACCACCAGGCCACGGAGACGGAATTTTCCATCTTCATCAGTTACTGTATCTTCACCATAAATGTTGCAAGCTGCCTGTCCGATAGCCTCCACTGCAATTCCTTGCTCTGGCTCCCCATTTAGAGAGGAGATAGTACCATAACAGCTAAATCAAAAGAATGTTTTAGAATTTTGTGGTAACATTTTTGCCAATAAAGATTTAAAGGATTAAAGACAATTGCCAAAAAGTATACAGCAGATTATTTTGGTAAATTACTCATTTTCACGCTTTTTTTTGATTGGCATGCATTTTTAATTATGGTTTGTGACAAACCATAATGGATTCTTTGCTGAATATACTCACACTCAAATTAAAATATGAATATTGAACAGAATAATCATTACAAGCAGTGAAAAATAGATATCAGACGAGCAAGACATCCCATTTCACTCATCTGAACGTCTACATCTGGAAAGAATTTAAAGAAACTTTCTTCCTGACATCGGCCCATGTCACACACTATGCCTGACTGAATGTTCAGAGTTTCCACCAACTGAAGCCAGCGACGAGGAAATTAATCACAGTAACTTAGATGACCGCAGAATTTATTTCTCTCATGCTATATGGTAAATTGTCCACTCTGCACAAGTGAGATATGGAGATCACAAATGTGAAGCTTCTCTCTGTAGCCATCAACTCACTGTGCCACTAGATTTTTGTTGAAAGGAGCAGATACTCAAATTAGAGTGAAATCCAGTACCAATGAAATGGCCACACAGATAGAACTTACACTCATTGATGCTCAGTCTGCTTTTATTAGCACTCTGAGTCGCTACCCTGAGTGGAGGGCACTATATACGTATAAGCTGTTGTTGCTGTTGTTATTCAAAAGTATTCACCCCACTTCAGCTACAGAAAACTGACACGGTCCTGAAATTGCTTTCATTGCTTTGAAGCAGGTGTCAGGTTTGACTCACACATGCTGAAGCAGAGAATGCAGTTGTGTTCAACCAAACTTTGTGAAACATTTCACTGACTTCATAGACAGTTCCATGATCACAATCTGTCACATCGTCAGTTTTGTCAGACTGTCATACAGTAATATTCTTTTTTTTCTTTTTAACATGTCGCCTAACATTGTGACACAGTCACAAACCAAATTAATTTTTTTTAAAAAAAGGTACCCAATGAACCAATTTAATGCTTAGTCAACTAGCCACAGCATTTAAACATTTTTTTCTGTAAGTCAAGGTTCATATCTGTAGTAGTTTCATTATGTCAGAACGTATTCATGTACATGAACAATTTCTGTTATCAGTCCCCACCACAAACAGATCTCTGCCCCACTAAAATGCACAAAGCATTAGTTTGACATTTTGCATATTTATTCAGAAAGAGATTGCTAGAGGTTTTGGGGAAACAAACCTGTAGGCAGTCCTATGGCCTGTAATTTTGATTTGAAGAGTTTGTCCTTCTTCTACTTGAATCATTTGGGAGGCAGGTTCAAAGCGAAACTCCTTCATCATAGGTTTGAAGTAGTACTCTCCAGGACTCTGCACATCAATACAGTTATTCAATTACTTAATGCCAAGATGGAAAAATAAAAATCAATTGTTCTTTTGATTTCAGTTCCACCGACAGTAAAAGGTGTTTTATCTATTTGTTAACAACCAAAAACTGTCACAAACTAAACACCAGCAAATAGTAATTTAAGTGAGGGTGTGTTAAGATATCAGCCTCTTTACCTTGGGGAACGAGATTTGAATCTGTTAATAAGTGATGAATAAACTGTTTTTCCTCTTTTTGCTGATTTTAAAATTCTAGCTGGACTCATTTTGAAGTGTTAATGCAGTTACTACTGTGGGAAAAAATTCACTCAGATACAACAAGCAGGGGCTAAGTCTGGGACAAGCTATAATTAGAGCTTTATTCTAAAAGGTATGAAAGCACTCATTTTCCCAACATTGAAGGATGAAAAAGAATCATTTATGTAAACACTTAAAATACACAAACCCAAACTTGTTTCCCCACATCTCATTTAAAGAAACTTTACCAGGTTTGCAAAGGTCAGCATGCCACTCTCTTGAGTGAGCAGATTCGAGCGGAACTGTCCTCCACTAAGAGACAGGAGAACTCCAGCAAGGGCCTGATCATCTTCAGTTTTTATCTGTTTTGTGATAAATTGCAAAACACTTTGTCAAAAAACGAAAGCCATTAATTTATTGATACTGCGAATTTCAATTTGATACAGTCAGAATTTCAATTTCTAAGCATCGTATTAAAAGTGTATTTAGTTGACGTGGGAGCTGTGCAAATCACACCTTACTCGCACCTAACAGTGGGTACCAATCTCCAATCAGGATCCTGATTACTAAAACTATTTGAAGTTATACCATTATGACAAGCGTCTATTTGATAACAGCTGCAGCCACAGTGGTTGGTAGCTTCAGTACTAATCCACAATGGACATGAGGGAATGCATGCTGCACAAAGATTGAATGCTTTAAATATTGAACCCTTACACCCCCATGGCTACTGCAGTCTATCACAGATTGCACTCAAAGCTAATTTTCTTCAAAACAAATTCTGCCGACAGTAATTTTTCTCAATTATCCCAAAGAGGAAATATACAATGAATAATGACAGTGCAAAAAAAGACAATCTATTAATAATGTTACTTGACTGCTGAGATTCCTCAATGTGTACATTGGTGAGTGCCATATAACCTTGGCACGGCCTTAAAACGACTAACACACAGAATTTATCAAGATAATATTTAAAAATACAGTAATTAATAATTTCCAAAAGATGAAATGAAAAAATGGGTCCACATGCAAAAGAAATCCTTGCAAAATCCTAGGACACAAGTAAAATAAATACAAATGATCTCATGCTTACCTCAAAATTAACACCTGCCAATGCAAAAGCGTTAAAATCACCAACTGTCCCTTCTATAGCAGTCAAGACAAAGCCTTCCTTCAGGGCAGTTATAGTGTACTCCTGGTCTCTGTGCAATGGTCCAACTCTGTAACAAGATATTCAGAGTACGTATTGAAAATGGTTCCTGGTTGTGGAGCTTTGAATTGCTGCCTTACACAGAATTTTACATAGAATTAGGTTAATACTGGAATAGACTTCAAGCAAAATTGCAGATGCTGGAAATTTGAAAGGAAAACAATTCTAGGAATCCATCGCAAATCAATCAGATTCTGAAAGAAAGGTAGATTAACTGGGGCATGATCCTTCATCAAATCTAGATTGTCTAAGGAAAGCTCCAATATACGATAGAAGATGAGAAGTAAAAGAAACACGTAAGAAAGTAAAAACTATTAAATCAGAAGCAGTTTCACAAGAAGAAAACTGGGGAGAATAAAAATGGAGGCAACCCATCAAATTTCCTCCTGTTGTAATCATTTTTTTTAGCCTTTTATGTATGTTTTCTTCACTTTTGTCCTCTAGCTGATATAGTGGCTTCTCCTTCCCACCATTTCAGCTCTGATGAATGGACATGTCCAAAACCTTCAACACATTTTTCTGTCTGTTTCAGTCTGAACCAACCAGCTGTAAATTTCTATTATTTCTGGTTGTATTGGCAATGTCACACTGTATCTGCAGAATTGAAATTACCTTTTTCTATACTGCAAAAGCGTCCCATTAAAATCTTCACTTGAAAATATTTACTTTTAATGACCTTATATTTCATTCACAATTGGATCTGTAATCTTGGTTCTAAGACATACCACAGGATTATATTAATAGGCATAGCACGATAGTCCCAAGATGTTTCTAAGTATGAAGAATACTATTTTGGGAGTAACTAATTCCCCCTAGTCTAATGGGTAGAGCCTTATATATATAATATATATATAGCTCAAACATCCTTCACAAACCCCACTACTTTCTCCAAGAATAACAACCATGGAATTTTGACAATAGAGAAGCAGCATCTATGTCACTGCATTGCCAAGACTATGCAGAAGAGGAATCCAGCTTTACTAATTTCACCAAAATAATCTTTGCGTGTGGTTAAAAAAAAAGCTCTGCTAAAAAAAATTTCACTAAATTCTAACAACTCACCTGTATGATCCTTCTTCATTGGTAAACACAGTAATAAGTGGTTTGGAGGTTTTCTCGGTGATAGTAATCTCAACACCATCTAATGCTGGGTGTATCTGCCCTTCTAGAAATAGCCCAGCTTTCCCCAGGATTTCAATTAATCTTCCTGGACAGTTATCTGCAATAAAATACCTTTATCAGTGTAGCAATTTAAAAGCATCTGCTTAATATGAAATCCCAAGTACTGTTTTGTGCAAGTTAAGATTATTAAAATGATTACAAAATCAAGATCTGGAAATGAGAAACCCAAACACATGCTTAGAAATACTGCAATATAATATGAAACCACTATTTTTAAATATGTCCAGGCAAAAATTGAAACCAAAGGTTAATACTTTCTCTTTTTGATTTGTTCTCTCTGGTAATTTTATTGATGGAAATATAAGGTTTAAATATCTTGAACTCATAATAAATTGTAACAACACTTTCATAAATACTCCCCGATTTTTAAAGATTTGAGCTCATATATCAAAACACAGTAATCCTTCTGTAAATATTTTGGCCATAGTGAAGCCACTTCCTTCCTTTTATGAAATAATCAAAAAATGTACATACTAATCAGATTTATTTAAAGTAGGGGAAAAATCAGCGTTTCATATCTAATCAGATCCTCTAAGCATAAAAGACAAAATGCAGTGAGATGAGCAGCTCTCTTTACCCCTCTCCCCCTTATGTGTGTTTTGTTCTTTATTTTGTTTTTCTGCTCCATTTTTTCATTTCTTTATTAGATATTGTAACTGAGTTAACTTGGGAAGTTATCATTCTCCCACTGCAGCTATATAGTATCACCTAGAGACAAGAGAGAGTACTACAACAAAACTAGGTTCTGGATTTGGGGATAAATTACTGTTCTAAGATTTCAGGAATTTTAACTTATGGTTATAAGAGCTATTTCTGCATAGGCATAAAAGTAAAACTCCAGTTCCGGTTCCTACATTAACATTAGGTTTCAAATACACTATGATTTCAAGGTGTATGATAGGGTAAGGAAAAATATACAGAGAGAAATTTGGCTAATAAAAAAGTTGCAGGTCTAACTGAGTTTACACATGCAGTTCAAATAAATTATATTAATTTGTTTTAAAAATACATTTTGAAATTACTGGAAAGTACCCGTGATGTAAAGAGTTAGCATAAGTAAATAAAAACTCCCAACATATTTCCATTGGGAGTGTTTAAGCTTGAAGCCTAGCAAGTTTGAAAGTACCTCACCTCCACTAATGAGAGCCTCCACTGATGGAGGATAGAAAAGAAGTTCCTTTGATGATGGTGTGACGGCAATCTTTTCTCCAGCTCTGATAGAGAAAGCAGCACAATTTTATGAATAGAAAAAAAAAACAGCAAGCCTTATTGTTAATCGATCTGTGAAGTGCAAATACAGACAGCTTGGAAACTAATCGAAAAATGATAAATCAAATGGAAATAGATTAGAAAGCGAACACATGAATATGCCTTCATAAATGGAACCTTTACAGTGAATACTGTTATTTTAATAACAATTTGAAAATAGAGAAGAAAATTACAAAAGATGACAGTGTGGGAAAAAATTAAATCAATGCTGAGCTCGTATGCCTACCGTTGACAATGACTGTAATTATGCTTTCAATGAACTTCAGTAACAATGATAAAATAAGATAACCAAATTACTGAGTGATCAGTTTGTATGAACAGAGAAAAGGACAGCACTGGAACAAACTCCCCATTGTGACACAGAATAAGGACAAGCAATAATTCAAACCAAATTCCCCCAAACACTTGTTAAAATATGCTGCATAACTATAGTGCTCTATACAGAGAATAATCTTGAATATTTCCTAAAACAGCTATTTAGACTATTTAGAGACAGCCTTTTCCCTTGTCTATAAGTGCATTTTTTCTAACCTGAAATTGTTATTTAAATACCAGGTTAGATGTTTACAGAGCTTTTACTTACTGAAAGTTACCCTCATAAGACCATGTAACCATACCTTGCCCAGTATGAAAATTCATAAACAAAAGGTCCCTCAAGTTCTTCCACCATTTCTTGGACAGGAGGTTCTCGTTCCTCTTCCTTTTGACCTTTCTTTTCACGTTCTAGTCTGCGCGCTTCAATTTCTGCCAGCTGCTGTTCCTGTCGTTGCTCTTGAAGTGATTTCAGTGGGCCTAAAACTAGAGCAGGCTCACTATCAATGGAAGATCTAGAGAAACGAAGATGACAGAAATTAAAATCAGCACCTTACGGTTAAACAAAATGCGCACAGCTAAGCAATAACCACAGATCAATTTCATAACTGCTTTTATAAATATATACAAGGTGACCTATATATAATGTTCTAGAGTAGGCATTCTGTGGATCCAATTCAGTGAGAAAAACACTCAACTCCATTGAAGTACTTATTATTAATAATTAATTCATTATTATCATCATGTCCACAGCATCAAATACAAACCTGTAGGGTATGGTAAGAAGTACTGACACATTTTGTGATTCTTTCTACAGTTACTCTAATTTAGATCATTTTTTAAAATCTTAAATTACAGATACCATTCAACGCTTGTTCTTACCTGATTGTAACTGTGATATCCATCAGTTTGTCTGTTATGATAACACCCAATGCACGGTGACGTGTTGCTGTTAGCGTTAAAATGCTGGGTGCCGCTCTAATAAACAAACCAAAAATTAGCACCTATTATAGAGCGGCTTATACTGTAAACACTGACTTTACACTGATAAATGACCAGGAAGAGACCCAGACACTTACGTGTCATAGATATAAAATTCACGTTCAAACTGGTGACAGGAACGAGGAGTCACTTTGTAAACACCTATTGGCAAGGACAAATAAAATTAATACCATATAAAGCACTGAAGGGCAATCCTCAAAATAAACATACATTTTAGTAAGGCAAAATTACATTTTACTGCCTTCACCCCAAATGCATTTTACTTAAAAAAAAGTAATGGTATAATTTGTATTCCCTAAACTGTTGCGCAGATTGATTTTTACTCCTGCCTCCAAGATTAACTTGAAAATTCGAGGTTTTAATAATGCAGCAAAAGAAATGGGAGGAATTTGTGAGTGCTATAACCAGTGGTGTGCCATGAATTAACCATACACACCTGGTTTAGAAAGACAAAATCTGTTCACTCCTTTCGTGAGATTATAAACACCAACATTCTCTGGGCCACTTCCGTCCTGGTAAAATTCCTGATACACACACATAATGAGAACAATTTTAAGCCTACATTCAAAGCCCTATATCTAATGATGTAAATTACAGCTACAGTAAAAGATTTACGTACAAAGGTTATGAAATCACAGTTCATTTCTGTACTGCTTGTTCAGATGATATTGTGGTGCGCTTGAGCTACAATGGCAGGATACGGCCAATAAGGCACCAGGTCGGCTGTGGTACACAATGTCATAGCAGAGCAAAGCGAGCGTACTGTGAAAGACAGCTGCTGTGATTGGCATATAACAGCGCTGTCCGAACCAGTGGACAGAATATACCAGCCTTTGAGATGTTCTGATGTGATAAGGTGACAGAAGATCCATTTCAATTCCACAAGTTGAAACACAATTTGATCATCAATGTGGAAGTGACCGTGACTAAAAAGCAAAATAGCCACATGTGGTTGGATTGCGCTGGTGTAAAGAGGCTAGCTGACACCTCAGAGATGGGGGGGAAGAGTGGCTATGTTTACATCAGCCTGTATTCATAACTAAGGTCCTATGATCCGTCAAGTTTCTCTTACCAATGTTATTGCATGTGAAAGTGAGCAACGCAGCATGTAACCTGTCTGTTTGAACTCTACACCAGTCAAATCGTGATCCACAACCTCCAGTTCCAATGATCGATTCTTCCAACACCATTCCTCATGAACAATGTTCACTGCAAAGAACCATAATCATGGTTAAACAAAATTGCATTGATTGAATTAAGTGCTTACTAATAGTGAAAACAAAATGCTCAAACACAAAATCTCTACCTTTGTATTTCCCTGGCAAGATGTTATTGAAGGTGAACAGTGCCGAGTCTGCACTTCCAGAGAGCTGCAGGCTCTGTTTGTCACCATGACGACTCAAAGGTTGAAGGGCAACAGTGAGATCACCACAAGAATCTTTATGGCAAAAAAAAACAAGGTTGATCATTTAAAAAGTCCCATCATTGTTTAAAAATACAATCTTCTGCAACATATGTTGCTGAATATGCAATTATAACTTTAAAATCTGTGTTATAGTTGATATTTGATTTCTAACTCTTAATTCTTCTTCAGCCATCAACATTCTGAGCCTCATTATTTTCTCTAACCTTGAGTGTAATTTCAAAAATTTCCTCCATTGCTGACGCACCCTCCAAAAAGCTTAGCTCCTTTCCTCATATCATAGATTTCCTCCCCTGTTCCCAATAGCTTTTAACTTACGCCCATGACTTGAAAACTCAATACCGCTCTCCCAAAAGTGCTTAGCCAGCCGGCTGTAGTCTATGTTTAGATTGCAGCTGTAACGCTGGCCAGTGCTAATTAGCCCAAAGCTGCCCCTGTTGCAAATCAGATTTTACAAAAGTATCTTTGTTGGAAAATATAGGAGTGTTTTACCAAGGGCACCAGATCTATCGGGATTCACAACATGCCATTTTATATACTTATTGAATATTTGGCAACTCCAGCAACCTGTTCTGGTGTGTAGTTCAATGTGAGACGAACAGAATACGCCTCCGTAGAGGTCAGATAAAGATGAAAAAGACACATGATGAATTAAGAAGCAACTGAATATAAATTGCATTTTGAATAAACCTGCACATCCATCTCCGCATTACCCATATTCCCTATACAATCCCAGAATAACTAAATATTATTTATCATCCCACCATTTGAATTATTGAACCAAATGAAACATATTACTCCCATTGTATGTGAACTGTCCAACTTAAGAGGACAATAAATTGTTTCAGATCAAATCTTTATCATCTGGCTCTCCACTGAGGGTGGGAGAATAACATCAAGCACTCCTACATAATCCACAGCATGCAAGACAGGAAGATGCTCCTGGCCATGGAGATGGTTCAAGATAAGTTTTATCTAAGTAACTTGTGTGACTGGGTTTGGTTAAGTCCCTTAATAATAGCACAAAAAATAATGGTCAAAGATACTTAATATTAATTATATTGACAAGTTACTCATTGTTCAACACTGAAACTCTTACCCAAACAAAATACCTTCCCAGATACAGATGCCATAAACTGAGTGAATAATAGGTCCATAATAGGTGCATTTGTCACTGTAACAGTTTGAATCTTTGGTTTTAGTGCAAGTCCTGCTTTGGCTTCACTTTCACTGACCACAACCTAAGAAACAGAATTCAGAATGATTTTTAACATAAAATGCAATCAGACTTTGTTAAGTGTTCTGATACATACTTTACACAATTTCAACTTGAGATTTGTCTTAAAAGTTTAGAGAGTGGTTTGTTCACCAGAAGGCTAGTTAATAATTCATAAAGAAAACATGCCAGATGCCAAATCAAAGGTTTAGTCTTTAAATACACAAAAAAAGAGCTGTAAACAAATTTCAAATCAATTTATTTATGCAGAATCATTAAGCCTCTGTTTTAAGCAACATAGGACTTAGCTTTAAATTCAAACATGCAGAATTCTCATCCTTAAATCTGAAACAAATGTGGTTATTTTGCATTCAACATACAAAAGTATTTTAGAATATAGAACCCAAAGCTCAAGCAGATGCTTTCAAATTCTGTATCAACTTTACCTGAATGTTATAGGATCCCGGTCTGGCTTGGAAACAAAATAATCCACGAGCGTCCATCTCTGTTGTAACTGATGAAGTTTTATCTTTGCTTTGAGTGGTCATCGTTAATTTATACTTTATCTGTTTGAGTCCTTCAGGGAATCGTTTGATGGTTACCTGTCCGCAGACACTGAAGCTGTGGAGCATGGGAGAAGCAATATATGTTTTGTTTGAACTGTACGTTTATAAGATACTAGAAATAACCATGTCTAGTTGAGCACTCATAAATGTAATGTTAATCTTGTATTCCACTGCTTCTTACCTTGTGGCCAATATATCAGCCAGCTGAGGTGTGTTAGGGGCAATCTTTACTGTAACTGGTTCAAAGAAAATGTGCTCCTTTTGTGTATTCATTGTATATGTGCCCGCTGTCATATTTTCAAGCCTGAATGACCCGTCTGTTTTTGTAGTTACTGCCAAAAATATAGCAATAAAAATTGATTAGATGAAAACAAGGTAGGCTGAAAACAAAAAATCTTCTTCAGTTGACAAGCATAATGTACACGTTTCCCATCATAAAATGTCACTCTGCTTCCTTTATTCCAGTAAGAAATCTCAAATAAGGGCCCTGTGCAAAATCAGCACAAAACTGCTTGGTGTGAGCCACATTTACACAGCTCAGTTAAATTACCGAATGGCAGAAGAAAGGTAGACCTCTGTGTTTACTCAGATGCACAGGAGCAGTGTTACTTTATTGGCCTCTGATCACTGGTGAAAATTTTAGTGATTGAAAATAGTTGATGGAATAGTCAATTCTTAGAATGAATGGCAACACCAAGATTGTCAATTTTATATCTGAAAAGTTTGAAAGAAGTGAAAGCAAAACGAGTTTGTATGTCAGACATTATACTCCTTGGACAAGCAAAACAGGAGCATCAGTGAAACCCCGATGTTCAGAATTATCCACACAGTAAGTATTTTGAATATTTATGTTTGCACCTGTTGATTTTGCATTCATACCAAATCTTAGACCAGCTGAAAAAGGATGCATTGCTTTGCACCAATGAGTTACACATGCATGTCCTGAAGATCAACATATGAGTTAGAAACATAAGAGCAGTAGTTGTGATATCCATAATGGAATTTCACTGGTATTTTGAAACAATTTCACCCAAGAGCTCATTTCTTGGGAGTTCAAGTGCTCCACTCACATGCAAAATGCTGTACCAAACTACAAGAACAAATTACATTTATATAGCGCCTTTCACGTGAGGCGGTCGCTAACCACTTTAGTGAATACCTTTGATCTGGTTGTTCAGCGTAACAGTAGCATGAGCAACTCCTTGACCTTCAGGCCCATCCAAAACACGGCCAGTCACAGAGAATCCCATCACTCGAAAGACAGGCTGCAAAAAATAATACAGAAGTTTTCACGTTTGTTTAAAAAGTTCAAAAACACTAATAATGGTAAATTAACCATTGAAATGTGTAGCCTTAAAGAAATAGTAGCAATTTGTTATTTAGTTTTCACATAAACATTTGGTGTTAGCTTGGCTCAGTTAGAAGACTCTTGACGCTAGTGCAGAAGTTTGTGGGTTGAAGCCCAAGAGCAATGGAGCTCATAGAGTGGCACTTCAGGACAGTGCTAGGAGATCACTACATCATGAGAAATGATGTCCTTTGGATTGAAGATTAAAAAAACATTTTGTGACTTCAACCACCCTTCCCAATGAGCTGGGAAAATAAATATTTTTCAGTGGCTGTATTGTTTACATTGTTTTCCTTTGGAGTCTCCTCAGGATTCTTAGCCCTCAAAATAGTCGCATCGAGCCTCTATCAAATATTTGGATTACTGTACCTCAATCTTTAAACTGTTGTGTGCCACGGAAAAATCTAGTCGAGATGGGGCAACATCAAATGTAATCCTTTCTCCTCTGTAGAATGGCACCTGTGATTGAAACGTATATCAAATGCACAGATTCTATGTTTCACATATAGTTTATGAGAAAATAATCTTTGCAGGAAACACGATTCATAATCTTGCTTAATTCTTCCCCCTTTCTCTCTTCCTGAAAGTTTTGAATCTTTCTGGGGTACAGTTCACTGGACAGAAAGCAGGAGAAAACCTTGCTGATTTCTCCATCAACTAGTGAAGCCAATAGATATAAATCTTAAGATGCATATACCTTAACCAATTTGCATTTCATTAATAATGCATTATGAAATTTGAAAAAAATACAGGTTTCATCTGCCCAAATGGATGCAACTACAAATCCCCTTTAGTGCATCTCTGAGCCACGAATAATTTACACACCACTGTGTATTCCCCACTGGGGAGGGATGAGAAAGTGAAAGATCCATCTTCTCCAGACACCACACTGCACAGGAAAGTCGTTGTTTCATCACTAGTCTGAAATCCTTCAACAGGGGATAAGTTACAGCCAGAGATATCCTATCAATAAGAAAAAACATTGTTAGAAACAATTACTTTGCAAAAAGCAAAACCAGTCATTTAGATAGTTTCTAAGTAGTGAACTAAAATTCCCATCTCACCCCTTCTCAAAATTGTTTTTGAGAGGTAATTATATATGCAAGAAATCCCACACTAAGCACTCTCATTGAAATAATTCAAGATTTAGCTGAACACAGCTGCATGACAAATTAAAACACCATCAATTTGTACTCTGCTACATTTATATCAAGATAAATATTAGTGTCCAAACATAACAATAATTATAATCCTTACATTTGATATAGCGCCTTTTATGTTGAGAGGACATCTTAAAGTGCTTCACAGGATTCACTCTAATGTTCAGCAACTGTATTTTTAGAAATCTCAAATAGTGCAATTTTACATAGAGATTACACTCCACAATTTGAGTAGCCATTTGAATGACTTCATGAACAATTTAGTATTCAGTCTCACCTGTTTTGTGACTGACGAGGAGAATAACAGGAACACTACACCTTTCATAGGCTCTCCATCGCTTCGTACAGACCCCAAGACATCATATCCAGCAACCACAAGAGAATCAGCTGCATTTGCGTTAGAATTTACCACCCGCACAGCTGTAGATGCCTTAAAAAGTTCAAGAAAATGTAATTTATGAGCATTTTCCATCAAGATTTTAACTGCAGTTAGTTACAACATCTTCTAGTTTCACGTGGAAAATCCAGGAATCATCAAAATATTTGACCAATTCTGGTCATAAATATTAAGAATAACAGATGGTTACAACAAGATAACTACCTAATTGAAGAATTACAAGGAGCATCAACAATGGTTTGTATACAACTGTTATCACTGCTACGAATTGGGTTACTACCTTGTCATTACATGGTATAATCTCTTTCATTATATAAACAGTAATCTTCATGAGATGGATTTACAGGTATTTGTTTATTAGATTTTGTATCATCAATTTTTGTCAGTGTTGACATTAATGTGCAATGAACTCAACATCATCAATCCACAATGAGAATTATTATGACAGCATCAGCACATATTGAAAATAGTTTATTTTATTATCACAAAATGCTACGGTAAATTTACCTTTTTTAAAAAAAATCACACCACCTGGAACACACACCTAACACACCACCGAGAGGATTACCACAAGAATAAAGTCAATGCTATTATTCTCAACAGTACAACTAAGATAAGAATTTAATATTAGAAATTAAAAATTATTAACCCAAACAAAATAAAAAGTGCACGCACTTTCTGTAGGGTCCAGGTCGGGTGGGACGCAGCAATTTCATAGTCACCAGGAAGCACTCTTGTAAATATATACCTGTCAAAAGAAAGTGAAATTAGTTTCCTTTCAAAATTAAAGGTGAGGGTTTTATTTTAAAATCACTGCTGTTTACATACTTTCCCCCAGTTTGTGTTATTGAAGTCTGAACATCGGAGTCTGTTCCAGTTTTTCTTAATGTGACCTGAACACCAGAAGGTCCTGAACTTTGACCTTTGCTGAGAACCTGAATGAAGAAAATTATATTTCTCACAGAATGATGCAGTATTTATAGCTTATTTACTCTGATTTAGATCCCCAGCATTTAATAATTTAACAATATTAAACAAATGTAATATCTCCATATTTTCAACGTTTAATTTCAATAAAAAATTAACAGCTACACTTATTAACCAGTATTTTTTCTCTAATATTTTTCAGCGCTGCTGGGTATAGGTTCACATGCAATCGTTGCTCTCCAATACTTTATATAATTGGCCATTATTCTTGCATGAGTCTGGACAATGAGTGTCAAAGAGGTGATTTGACTCCAGAGGTCACAAGCTAGCTCATTCATGCCCTTATCCTACATTCACACTTTCAGTTCGAGTCACCAGTTAATTGTTTTCCTCTGTCCTCCAGAGAGGGTTAATCAATATTCGTGAAGTAAAGTTAAATCTGAAATGTACCTGGCCAAACTCGCCATCTAATTCTACCCATATTATGTCACGTCACTCCCAAAAGCAACATAATCTGTTCTACAACCATTACAAAAAGTGGAAAAGATTAACTACAAAACAATTATTAAATGACTACATTGAAAATTAAAGACTGAAAAGCCCATCTTTACCTTTCCAGACACAGAAAATCCAGTGAAGACAAAGTTAATGTCCTCGCCTTTAGTGCAAATGTCATTAACGCCGTCTACATGAAGGTCCACACTTGTAGGCTCTGGTTATAGAAAAAAAATTGTGCTATAAGTAAATAATTTTGTAACAGCATATCATTTAAATCTGAATGAAACATACAATTTAAACCCGAAGCATTCTATTTATAAATTATTCTGCAGAACATCTGCGTTATAATCTATATTCTCAGAAATTCTAACACAGTAAAATGTTCTCTCATACGTCAGAACATAGAATTATTCCTAAATCTGGAATCCATCTTTGGCACTTCCACCACTGCCATGTTCTAGGTTTACAAACCAATTGTTATTATAACAATTATACTAATTAATACCTCCCAAACGATCTTCAGATAGGCAAATGAGCATTTTAAGTACAAATATTTCATACTTCATCATATATAAAATACAGATAAAATAATTCTCCTTCTTGGCGAGCTAAATTTATCTATACTCACCAAAACTCCACCCTAGGGGAGGTTCAATCTTTAAAATAAAGTCCCCCTGTGGAGTAAAGAAACACATCTAAACATATATAAACATAATAGTCACAAATAGTCGGACATTACAAGGAACAACAAAAAGTAAAGGCTGTTCACAAAAACAACTTGCATTTACATAGCACCCTCCACGCGGGGTAGCATCCTGGAGCGTTTTGACAGTGGTGGAATCTGACACCGAGCCACAGGGAGAGGGAGGAGGGAGGTGACCATAAGCATGATCAAAAAGGAAGGTGTTTAGGTGGGATTTGAAAGTGGGGAGGGGGCAAGGGGTAGGGATTGAGAGAGTTCCAGATTTTCGGGGCGTAGTGGCTGAAAATACCAATGGTGGAGTCGAGGGAACGAGGGACAAACAGGAGGCCAGATCCAACCGAGTGGAAGCAGCAGGTGGTGGAGTGCGGGGTAAGCAGATCGGATAAGTAGGGAAGTCACACAAACGATTGGGAGCCTCAGCTGGAGAGGGGGAGTCAAGTAAGTGTGTGTGTGGCATGGGTTGAATATAACAATAATCCTTGCATTTGGATAATAATAATAATCCTTATGCCTTATCATAGCGATGTCCCAAAGGGCTTCACGGAACATACTGTAAAAGCACGATCAGAAAAATATGTCTTACGGTGAGTTTTGAAGGCTGTAAGGGATGGGGGCAAGGCAGAGGGTATTTCATTACAAAATCTTGAATCTTACCTTATCATATAGAGGAATCATAAAGTAACCATTGTTGGGTGCACAGTCTGTCTGGTATTTGAGGGTGCCCTGCTTTGTGTACAATTTGATCTGTTGAAACAATTACAAACAAGTTTTAAGGTGCTCCAGAGTTTTTGTATGTTACAGGTTGTATGTTGAAGATTGATAGTAGAACCAGAACTGCCATCATCATTATTTTTCAAGTATCTATAAGTCAAACATTAACAAATTATTGTGTTTGTATATAAAAGAAAAAACAGTGACTTAAACCATTTATAAACCACACGTGCGTCCAAAACAATGCACTGTCAGCTATTGCAAAAAATACTGGTTGCGCTATCCAAATGCAATACTATGGAACTACTGAGAGTTCCTCATAAGTATGGTTTCCTTTGTCGTTTATGGAGTGCTTTACATGATTTTACTGTAAAATGTGGTGAAGGTGTGTTTTGCTGGCGAACACAGCCAGAAAGTGACTGACCAATTTTATCTGGATGGATGATTATTTGCCAGGACACTGCAAGGTACTCCCGTCTCTTTTTAAATGACACCACAGAATCTTTAGCGCTTACCTGAACAGGCAGGTAGAGAGAACCTCGCGGCTTACCATCTCACCCGTGGAAAGACACGTGCAACAACGCAGCGCGCTCCAGTCCCTGTTCCGATTCTCAGCACAGAATCATCGGCCGCGGGGCTTGGACCCCACGTCCTTCTGTCTCAAGAGGCCCAACTAACTGAGCCTGGCCGACACCCGTCAACGAGCCAAGTCAGACGGCCGACGAGGACGGCGGCCGTGGACTATCGCCCAAACGGCGCCTGGAGCTCCACCGCGGGCCCGACTGGCTCCGTCCGGCGCCACCGGACCACCGAGACCGATGGGAGAGGATCGACTCGAGTCCTGTCGCCAATCGCCGGGCGTGTGACCTCGGGGGTGCGGAGGGAGGGGGAGGGGGGGTAAACTCAGCGAGAGAGACCCTTATGTCCATGATGAGGCACATTGGATTTGGCTCATTAAAGTTGACAAGACATTCCCCCCCCACCTCTCCCCCACCTTCTGCCCCTCCCCCTCTCCCTCTCCCCCACTTTCTGCCCCTCCCCCTCTCCCCCACTTTCTGCCCCTCCCCCTCTCCCCCACTCTCTGCCTCTCCCCCACTTTCTACCCCTCCCCCACTTTCTCCCCCTCTCCCCCTCTCTCCACCCCTCCCCCTCTCCCCCACTTTCTACCCCCACTCCCCCACCCACAAAACCCTCCAAATTAAAACAAAACTGTGCTGTGGCCGACTGGAGCGCAAATGCCCCCCCACCCACCCAACCCGGGATCTCCTGCGGCCTATTACCTCAGCAACTCCCGGCCCCAACCTGACCGCCCTCCTCCTCCCCCCCACCCACCCACCTCATGGCCTGACACGACACGACATGACATGACCGACCGACTTCCCCGGGGGGGCAGAGCAACGGCCGCGCGCGCGCGCCGGGGCCCGCGGCCGCCGGCCCTTCACCTCAATGAGCGAGTAATTGATCTCCACGCCCGACTTCACGAAGCCCCCGCAGCCCACCACGATGTCCTCGGCCTCGACCAGGCGGCAGCAGCAGCAGCAGCTCAGCAGCTGCAGCGCCGCCGCTAACGCCGCGGCCGCCAACGGCTTCATTCCGCCCGAGCGCCGGCAGAAGCCACTCGAACGTCCTCGAGCTCCAACTGACGCCGCCGGTCACGCCCCCTCCATCCTCCCCCCCCCCCACGGGCCCGGGCGCGCGCGCGTGCGCATGCGCAGACCGACCGACGTCAAGCCCGCGCAGGTTCGAGGGTACATGCGCAGTGTGAGTCAACCCAACACCCCCCCCCACCAATACCTCACAGCGCCACCTGTCGGCTCCTCCGCTGCTTCACGCCCACACCAAATGCTCCTGTCAATCAGTCTGAAAATGCCCATAGTAGGCTCAGCAGGTCATCATCCACCCTGGAAGCTTCTCAATATAACTGTGCTTCATATCAGTATCCTTGCATTAGATACACAGCGTTTATATATATATGATGATGATAATAATAATAATCCTTGCATTTTGATATAGCGCTTTTCACGTCGGGAGGACGTCCCAAAGCGCTTCACAGAACACTGTAAAGTGAATTGACTGTATATTTGTGGGCGAACGCGGCGGCCGATTGCGCACAGCAATGTCCCACAAACAGTCGTAGATTGAAAATGACCAATTTATTATTGTTTTTGGTTTTGGAGGGATTATTATTAGGCTCTGTGTGGAGTAAGGAAACTTGCCCAAGGTTTCGCCCTCTGCCTGGAATTGAACTCAGGTCTCTCACTTGCAAAGCGAGTGCTCTAATCACTGAGCTACGGGACTCCATGAACTCCGTCTTCTGGACGTCTCAAAGCGCTTCACGGAATAAGTCTGTAAAGTGATTTACAAATGTATTTATTTACTGTTTACAATTTCACAAAGGCACATGGGCTTGGTGATACACTGATATCACAGTTTGTGTTTGTTCGGTGTTAGTCTTAGTGGCTGTTGTATTTTGGCTGTGTGTATAAACCTTATATTTATTTAATCTTGGCTGCTCTGTACCGCAGTACAACACTGTGATTATTAGCCAGTACAGAGCTGTAATAGGATGCAAAAATTGGAAGTTATTCTATTCCTAAGTACTAATCGACGAGCACAAATATTCAGGAATGTTTTTAAATTTTGTCAGGTTTGCGGGCCCAATAATATCAAGATAAAAATTAGATATGGAGGCTCCATTAAAAAAGCAATTGAATAGAAAATACTGTATCACATTAGCTGTTTGCAGTACAAAGTTTTCAACACTTGGTGTTGCTCATCTTCGTATACAGTATATACATAAGACAGCTGCTGCAGCAAGTTATAATAATAATAATCATTGCATTTGATATAGCGCTTTATCACATCGTTGAGACATCTCAAGGCACTTCACAGAATATATTGTAAAGTGAATGGACTGTGTATTTTACGAATGAAAATGTTACCTACTAAACATGAGACATGAATTGTACCTCATCGTAAAGGTTTTGTAACTGGCAGTGTCATGGGCATATATTTTTGGGGGGAATCTCCTATCTTTGATAGATCTACATTAAAAAATGCTTTAAGCCCCAAATTGAGATATGCATCGTATTCTGCAACAACATAGTGACAGAAAGCACACACCATTCAGAGGTACAACTATATTCTGCAATGAATGTATGGTATTTTTTGCTGGTTGTCATGGGAGCTAGAGTCCTCCCATGTGAAACAGACAGAGAGAGACTGAGATAGTGAGAAAGACTGAGAGAGAGACTATGAGAGAATATTTTATGAAGTATAGTGTTTTGTGGGGGAGAGAGAAAGACAGAGAGAGACTGAGAAACACTGAAAGAAACTGAGAGCGCGAGAGACAGACGGACAAAGAGACTAAGACAGAAAGAGTGAGGAGAGAGAAAATATATTTAAAAAATCCTCCCAGCTAAGTATAATGTCTAAACAAAATGTCTGTGTGTCAATCTACATTCCATGTTGGATCCTTTGGTTGCAAGCGAAGCTGCAATGGGTACAGCTAGTGTTAAATAATAAGACAAATCCCAAACTAACCACAATAGCAAGTTTTATTGTCTCCATGATTTACAAAAATTGTACCATATCTGCTTGTCAAAAAATAAATAGCATTACCGTAATGCACTACAATTTTTGTTGCTGTGCATTATTCCGTGCTTGATATTTATAAATAAGGTAATTTAAATATGGCAACAAATACAAAAGGAAAAAAAAACTAAGGTCAAAGAATAATGATCGCCATACAAAACTCTTATTGAACCGATGTCAGTCGGAAAATGTTTACATTCAGGTTTTCTATTCAAGTATTCATTAAACTCCTAAATGCAACAAGTCCGAGTCGAGGTAAACAAGAAAATATTTTTTCAAATTACAAGAGACCAGAATCAGCTGCCATGTGGTAAAAGACTCCTTTTTTGGCCAAAAGATTGGCTGGAGTGTCAAACTCTATAATCTCACCTTTGTCCAGAACCAGAACTCTGTAAAAGAAAAGGAGAGATTAAGCACTCATCTTTCTCAGATTTATGTGGACATTAATTGCTACATAATCGACCACACTAAATGTGCAATACATATATATATATATAATATATATATATATGTGTGTATCATTTAAATGTTTATTCCCTGGTTAAGCCTTGGAGTTATATTTGAAGGAAATACAAAATGGAAGAAAATGTTCTCAAAATTGTGCTGAGATTTAATCTCTTTACAAAGCAAACTCATCTGGTAGGCAGTCATTGACTCCAATTTGTGATTAAATAACTCCTAAATAGGTGTTGAAGGAGTTCGGAAAGTGTGTGCAGCTTGTGTATTTCTGAAATTGTATTTTTGAATCATCTATTGTGGATGGATAAGCAAGATAAACAGATTTCTCTTACAAACAATTTCTATTTTGTTTTCACATCCACAATGATGCTGGTCCCAATTAGTTTCAATAATGACTCTACCGTGTTCATTCTGTCAGTATCACTGGCTGTTGAAGCTATCAAAGTACCATTACCTTGTATAATCCATAATGGTATGGAGACGATGCGCTATTGTTAGGACAGTACTCTGATCAAAATGGCTTTTTATCGTCGACTGGATAAGTTTGTCAGTTACTAGGTCAACTGCAGCTGTCGCTTCATCAAGGACCAGTACTTTTGATTTCCGAAGAAGAGCGCGTGCCAAACAAATCAGCTGTCGCTGTCCAACACTGAAACGAGAGAAAACAATTTTGCATTGCCCTTCCCATACTGTACCTCAAGGTGACCAATATACTAAACCCAAACTGTACCTTTGTAGCCACAACTAATGTTTGTCTGTTTGTATTATAAAGACTTATCTGCTGCAATTTTCTGATTATGTATATTATTGTTAACCCTCACTGATTACCTCGATTCATTTTTGAGTTGAGTGCTTAAAGAAACACTGTGGTCCAGAATTTCTACTTGAAAGCAGTAAATCATGCTCATGTGAAAGACCAGGAAATGAATTATGAAGCCCCTCTTACTAATTAAACTTCCTTCATTTCCTTTTACTGGTGTAATACTGCTAACCTTCCTATAAAATTACTATTTGTGAACTAGAAAAATAGTACAAGCAAAACATTCATTATTTCCCTTAATAGACAACTTTCTCTCCTCCTCCACTTTAGAGGGGTGAATTATGGAAAAATATTTACCTCAAATTTTCTCCTCCTTCAGAACATTCATGATTCAACGTGTTGGGAAGGTCCGATACAAAGGTTTTCAAGTGAGCTAATTCTAAAGCATTCCATAGATCGTTATCAGAATGGTGTTCGAAAGGATCCAAGTTCATTCGCAACGAACCAGAGAACACTACTGGCTCCTAAAATCAATTCCACACAGCTTGATCAGTTCTGATAATTATAGTGTTACACTTGGTAGGTCAGGTTTACAAAACCATGTTAAACTTCAATTAAATCAATCTGTATTTGCGTACCTGAGGTATAATAGTAATCTCAGACCGAAGATCGTGCAGACCTATTTCTGAAATGTTAATTCCATCAAGGTAAATCAATCCTTCAGCAGGCTCAATTATTCTAAACAGGCCGAGAGCAATAGATGATTTTCCTGCCCCGGTTCTGCCAACTATTCCAACCTGCAGAATAAGAAAGAAAAGGCTACAAAATGATCGGTAAAAATGAGAATAGACTCTGCAATACCTAAAAGATGACAAACAAGTTAATCATGTGAAATCTACAGCAACAAACTGACAAATAACAAATACTACAAAATGTTCAATTTCTTCAGATTCACAATATTATTAACTCTCAGGGCCTATATGTTTAGAATATGCACACAAAATAGCATATGGAATATATGCACAGGCATTGCTTTGAGACAAAATTTTCTTTGAGATTGAAATATCCCCTCCCCATTTCTGACATTCTTTGATCTCCTTAAAAATAACTAATATTTATTAAGTACATTTTACATGATGAAAAATTCCCATCTTTACCCACACTGATATTCTCTGTTAGTTTCAAAATGAATAACAATTACTCTTCAGCTGTCAGAATTCTGAGGTAGCGTTCTTACAAGTCTCCTTGAAGATTACAGTGCAGCACAAATAAGTTACCTCTGGTGCATGTTCAAGTTTTCACTCTCAAACTGCTATTGCTTAAACACGAATCACAATCAACCATTTTAACAGAGTTTGATGAAAATGTTGATCAATATCCTGTTATACTTTTTTTTACTATTACTATTTAGTGAATCGGGTCATTAGACTTGTGTTGCTAACCTTTTCACCTCCTTTGATAGTCAAAGTAATGTTCTTCAGAACCAAATCAAGATCAGCTCTATAGCGTGCGCTGTAGCCTATAAATTGTATTGTTCCTCTCTGTATCCAGTTGCTGGTAGGGCTATTATTGTTGCTAAACCAGGGTGCCTGAGTGAGAAGAAATGTATTACAAACATTATTTCTGTACAGTAATGAAAATCTAATTTTGTTAAAAATCCATCAAAAAGATATAATAATCATTGCATATATAGGCAAGTTCCAAAGATTGTATTTGCATTTTTATAGCATCTCATCACATTGAAAAGTGTCAAAACCCTTCACAAATAACTACTGTTAAGTGGAGTAATTAATTTTGGAAGCAAAAATGGCAGTCATTTGAGCCAGCAAAGATCATCAAACAGCCATGAGATAAAGGACTAATTAATCTGGAAGATTGTTGGCCAGGACACCAGAAAAAACTCCTTTCTCTTCTAAAATAATATCAGCGGATCTTTAATATTCACCTGAGGAATATGCAGACATAACAATGGTTTCAACATCTATCCAAAGCACAATACCTCTCAATACTACAAGTGTCAGACTAGACTATGTTCAAATCGCAACAAGATGTTAAATTAAATAGAACCCTCAAAAAACAAGCACATTTTGCAGATTGTGATTTCAGAAAGTGCATGTTCTTTTACTTGCACCTCTAGTGCCACAGGGAGATGTCCTTTTTCTCTTTATACTTGACCACTTAACATTACCTCTTTTTCCATCTCACTATACTCCTTTACTCTTTCCACAGCAACGATATTGGTTTCCACTTCAGAAGACATGCGCACCAGCCAGTTTAATGTTGCAGTCACCTAAACACCAATAAATGTTTGAAACATACAAAGGTTTCTTAGCACCAAACTAGAAAATAGTTTCTAATCCAGATAAAACATTTTAAGGCATGTTTATTTAAGATTCTAAATGGTATGCATTGCGCAACATGGTGATGAATGACAACAAAATGTTTCTCCAATCAGCAATCTCATTACAACAACCTGTAATGATCTGAGTGTGGCTGGAGAAAATGCACAAATAGGGTTGATTTGCTTGGATCCTCATCCTCACCTACAAGGCCATTCACGGCCTTGCACCCTCCTACCTCTCCGACCTACTATCCCCCTACTTACCTGCCCGTACCCCCAGTGCCTTCGCCTTACTTCCTCCCTTTCCTCCTTCAAGGCCGGTCTCAAGACCTTTCTCTTTGACCATGCCTTCAGCTCCCCTCTCCACTCCCTACCCCCTCTTCGCTCCCTCCCCTCACTCTGACCATTTCCCCCCAATGCTCGGGTCTTGACCCAGCTGTCCAGCGCCTTGTGACGTCCTCCCGACGTGAAAAGCGCTCTATAAATGGAATCTTGTTGTTGTTGTACCCTCCATTCCTCTGGCTCCGGTCTGCTCCACACCCCCCCGCCCTAATCGCCCTACCATCAGTGGCCGGGCTTTCAGCCTCTCAGCCCCTAAGCTCTGGAAATTCCTTCCCCCAGTCCCTTCGCCTTGCCTCCTCCCTTCAAGGCCGGTCTCAAGACCTTTCTCTTCAACCGTGCCTTCAGCTCCCCTCTCAACTCTCTACCCCCTCCTCACTCCCTCCCTTTCCTCCCCTCACCCTGAACATTTCCCCCCTGCTCGGGTCCCAACCCAACTATCCAGCGCCTTGGGACATCCTCCCGACATGAAAGGCGCTCTACAAATGCAATCTTGTTGTTGTTGTTGTTAAGCGCTCTGAGACGCTACCCTGCATGGAGGGTGATATATAAGTGCAAATTGTTGTTGTTGTCTCAAAGACGTGATAAGTCTTCATTGTTGTAATTGTAACAGAAAGTACTTTTCACTGAATCACTAACAGCAAATTCTTCCCAGCAACTCATTGACACACAGCTGAACAACTTCTGATATGAAAACACAGCTGAACACGACACTAATGCCCAATATGTAAATGCAAACTAAAAATAACAGAAGTAGACTAAGCTCAAATAAGAATTATGGAAATTTAAACATAAAATTGCAATAGTTATATGATTAGTTATAAAGACAAGGTAAATGTGGTGGATAAGACTAGCTCAACTGCATCATGCATCTTAATAATGGGGAGTATAAATGCGCAATTTATTTACCTGTAATGCATAAGATATGGACAAGCCAACAAGACCAGCACTGAGTTTTAGCCGATAAGCCACAGCAAAGAGGGCAGCAAACAATACGATGCAATTCCCAACAAACTCCAATCTCACGGCCAACCACCTGAAGGGATGATCACACAAGATAAACCTTTCGTACCAATAACTCTTCCCACCTATCCCACTGCTGAATCTCTAGAGGTATCAGAATCCTTGGCAAAAATGTCTCAGGCAAAAGAAACTAAATTGAATTGTTAAGAGTACCTGTTGGCAACAATACTGGGATAATAAGCTTTTTGGTTTTCATCTACTCTGAGGTCGTTTTCTTGTAAAAAACGGTCTTGCTCTCCAAAGGCACGGATGACACTAACTCCAAGGAGTGTTTCATTGAAATGGGAATATATCGGGGATCGACTAACGGATTCCAGTCTTTTCAGTTGACGTGAGGTAGCCACATAGAATTTCTATCAAGACAAACGTTGGCAAGTTAAAATACATAATTAATTTTGCCCAGAGGACATACATAATGAAATGCATAACTTTCCTTCACCATTATCAATACAGCTGGCTAGTATTTTGACATTAACCTTTCAGACATTTCTATCCAGGTGTAAAATATAACAAAGTGTGCATGTAAAGATGGGATTAAGATTGGGATCTACATTTAGCAATAGGTAGAACCCTGTGAAATTCTTTTGTTTATAATTTTTCATTTCTGAAGAATTTCATGTTATTTTGTTTAAGCTATGCTACTTAAAGAAGCAATGACATCCTGTAAATATTGTAAAATTATGGCCAGGTTTGCTAAAGACAAAAATTTAAATATCTAAAAATTGAGGAAAACATCTTCTTTTCCTCCTTTAGCTAGATACAGTATTGATTTATGCTAATAGTTCTCTAACAACATCACAATCCAGCAAAAGATAAATCACTACATAAGCTTAGCACAAATATTTCATCAAAATAAATTAAAATGAACTAACCTGCACAAAGAAGTAAACAAAGCCCAAGGGAAGGAAGGTCACAGCAACTATTGGTGTGGCTATCAAAATTACTATGCAAGCAATGAGAACATTGAACAGTGATCCCAAGAACATTTTAATCACTGTAGGGATCATAGAGTCTATTGTATCAATGTCTTTGGCGAAGCGGTTTACCAAGTTACCACTCGGTGTCCGCTCAAAGAAATTCATAGGTGACTGCAGGACATCATTCAACAAGTCAGCATGGAGCCATTTGGAAGCTATTATTCCTCCTGCACACATCAATACAGATGAACAAAGTACAAAGAAACCTGCAAATTTTTGAACAAAGGTTACTGAAAATGGAACATTAAAAAAATGCAATTCTGAAAATTAAACAGATTAAAACAACAACAAAATTACATTTGTATAGCGCCTTTCACGTTGGGAGGATAACCCAAGGCACTGGACAGTTAGTGTTTCAGACCTGAGCTGGAGTCAGGATCGGGGAAGGTGGCGGGCAGGAAGGGGAAGGAGGGTGATCAAAGGCACGGTCAAAGAGGAGGGTCTTGAGATGGGTCTACAAGGAGGCAAGGGAGGAGTCAAGGCGGGCACTGCAAGATGGAGTTCCAGAGGGTGGGGGCAGAGTGGCTGAAGGTTCACCCGCCAATGGTGAGGCAGGCAAGGTGGGGTACGTGAACAGAGGTAGGGGGTAGCAAGGCCATGGATGGCTTTGAAGGTGAGGACCAGGATCTTGAACTGTATCCTCTATGTGATGGGAAGCCAGCGGAGTCGGGCAAGGATGGCTGTGATAGGGTCTGATGTGGGAGAGGACACATTCTGCAGCCTATGGAGGGAGGAGTTGGGGAGGCCGACAAGCAGGGGAGCTTGCACAGTCAAGCCTGGATGTTATGAATGCGTTATGAGGGTTTCGGCAGCCTGCGGTATGAGACAGTGGAGGAGCCGGCCGATGTTGCGGAGGTGGGGGAAGGCAGAGCGGGTCATTGCACGGACGTGAGAATTACCGGAGTGCTCTTCACCCCTTCTCAGTGTCCAAGCAAATCCCCAGATTCCAAAAGAATCCACAAATGGGACAGATATCCCTTGTATCTTTAAATCAAGACCTTCAAAGTCTCTTAGTGAATAAATGTGAGAGTGATTGACCTGGTTCCTGCTCTGATACATTCCTGTCTTTCATTCATCCTTTGGGGTTTCATTGACTGTGCCATTGAAATAAATTTTTAAATTAGAATTAAATTGTTACAAACCTTGTCCTAGTCCAAGTGCGCTATACACCCCTAACCGTAACTTGTTAAACGGTTGAGTCCCATTGACAATAGGATCATCTGTCCACAAACTGAGCCAGAAATTAGAAAATAAAGCGGCCACATGCTGACAAATGTAGGCCACAACAATTAGGCAGGAAGTACAGACTCCAATCGCCTTAATATATTTTATGTAAACAGAAAATTTGACCTGAAATAAAAATATTTAAAGACCACTTAGTCAAAACAGCATAATTAGAAATAGCTAGAACATCATATGATGAAAAAATATTACCAAATGGTGGAGATTACAATGTATAATTGAACCGATTGGCCTGTTTTCATGCTGTATCATTCATTTATGAAATTATAAATTTAAAAGTGCAATCATCTGACTCCAAAGTAAAACAGCTCATCTAAACAATATAAAATGATGAAATAAACTTCTTAATCAGCGCATGTAGTGTAAACCGACTAACCAAAGTGAAATTGTTTTGATTGTCTGGGCTGATAAAACAATTATATAATCCTGAATTCTATTATACACAATCAATTTGGGATTGCTGAGTCCCAATTTTAAAATCAATTCAGTATTCCAATTATCTCCATATAAAGAAAAATGGAATTCACATTGCTGAACTTCCGTGTTGTAAAGTCACTACAGACATCACTTTCTGCATGCTGCAAATGTGTCAATGCTAGCGCATAGTGCAGAAAGTCTACCCTGCGTGAGGGGTGCTATATAAATGCAAATTGATGTTTTGTAACTTTACAATGGGGAAAGTCAGCAACTTTTTGAAAGTCCAAAAAAAAAACTATTTATGTTATCTGTCTAAAATACATAATAAAACAATATCAAAAACCAGGAAAGCCTATTTCTATTCTGGTCTCAAGTGATGTCAGTTTTTTTAAGTAATCTGGGCTGGTGACAAAAAGCCCCAGAAGTCAGTCACTTTAGCACAAGAGACATCTGGTATGTGGGAAATGAGCAAGTTGATCGCACTTATAAATGGAATCCAAACTCTCAACTGCATCAAAACTAGATCGATGCTGTATAGAAGCATCAGACAACAGTGTTGCACTGTATTTATCAATGAAAAATCAATTATAAACAACTTTAATGATCCTTAAACATCCTGCTTGGTAAAACCATCATACATTGATGTATGATGGTTCCTTGAGTTATGACAATCAGGTGGGAGAGAAAAGTGAGAATTTGCCAAGGAGTAATTTGAAACTTTCAGATTGTTTTGGAAGTGTTTCTCTCATGAAGAAGTCAATGTTGCTTGCGTATAAAATTTATATACTTTCTTACCCTTCCAGTCTGAGCTTTGTCAGCTACTGTCAGCTTGCCGCCAGCCTTTTCTTCTGTATTGTTGTCAAGTTCCTGTTGTCCAGCGAATTGACTTAAGCCAACGTTGGACCGAGGGGAGGAACTGTATCCACCCAATGAGGTAGTCTCTGCTTTATTTGCAAAACCAGGATATTGTCTAACCGATGAAAGAGAATTAGTCCTATATTGTAATCTAGAAATAACCGATGCAGTAGATTCTTTACGAATAATTGGTACATGAGATTTGTTACTACTTTCTGGCCAAATTGGTGAACTAAGATCTTGGGAACTTTTTTGCGGTTGTGATGAACTAAATTTTTGTTGATCGCTCTGATTTTCCAATCTAGATTCTCGGCGATTTTGTGATGTAGAATATCTCCTATCTGCTGAACTAGACTCTTGTCTACGATATGATGAACCTTGTCGGTATGATGGACTAAGATATTGTTGACGTGTTGTACTAGGATCTCGGTGAACAGATGGACTATGATGTCGTCGAAGAACTGCTCTACTCTTAGCTTGGTTTTGCATTTCACTGGCACTGAATGAGAAGATGGAATATCTTTTTTGATTAAAATCTTCAGTCCTTCAACAATATTTCAAAACATACTTTTGAACTTTATTAAAAACAGAAGTAATTAATCTGCAAATCTATAACAATATCATATTCAGTGCACTTTATAAGGGTTCTGAGACACTATCGTGCATTAAGGGCGCTATATAAATGCAAGTTTTCCAATTCATAAAATTCAAACCAGCGTTATCGTGAGACGCAATTTGCTAGATTCTCGATGAATTGGTAAACTAGTTTCGTGCTGATTGATTAATATACTAAATTCTTTCTGATTTGCATAGCAGCCAGCAAAACAGCTGTAGAAAGAAAGAGCAGCAGAAACACAGAGAGAATGACACAGAAAGTGAATGGCAGCGAGAAAGAGAGAGCAAGAAAAGTGCAGCAAGAGAAAAAGTACGACAGAACTGCCCAGAGTGCGAGTGAACTGCACAGTGAGGAGAGAGAAATAGACAGAGAAAGGGACTGGCATGATATCATGGTAGCCTTAGAGAGTACTGATATGCGCATTAATAGTATCAATAACAATATTGTTAGTAGGGTAATTTTAATCCATCATAATATTGTTCTAAAATTATATCGAAAAAATGTTAATGGTTCTATAATTACTGAATTACCTTTAATTTTGTCCAATATAACTAACAACAGTTAAGTGTACAATGATACTATTATAATTACATTTTTTAAAAAACTACCGAAAGTATACCTGCTGATTGTACTTAGTCGTCGCTTTTTATGACGAGGTCTATTTGGACCATCGTCTTCGGCATCTTCAACTTCTAGCAGTACGATGTCTTCTGATTCCGATTCAACTGGGCAAAAGGCAAACAGAAATCCTTTTAGAATTGAAATATCTAATCTGGCCCTGCACAGCAGATTTAAACAAATACCCAGACTGACAACCAAAACAACTACAATTAGGATTAAGTTTTCTAGGTTAATACTACACTAGACCGTTGACCTTTAAATTATCTGCATACAGATATGCTAAGACACCTGGTGGTACAGGTAGAGCATTATGTCACCACACTGGCAAAAATTCTCAAATACTGTATATACTATGGGGCAGGAATGAGAAAATGCAGATCCTGTTATTAACCAGTGGTTGAGTTCACACAGGAATAGTGAAGTAACTATGAAACATGTGGCTGAAGGGTTGTAGATTAGTAGGCAAAATTGACTTTATTTTAATAAGAACATTACAGCAGCCTTCTACCTTCAGGTTCGCTTGTTTCTTTATGAGCATATGCCTGAAGATATTCAGAAAATGCTCCTCCTTGCTCTAAAAGTTCTTGATAGGTGCCAAACTCTGAGATTTTACCATCAACCATCACAAAAATTACATCCATTTGAGGCAGGAAGTTGATACCATGAGTCACTAGGATACGGGTCTGTAAATTAAAATTGTATTTTTAATCAACTAAACATATTGCATTATAACTGAAAAAGGAAAATATTTTTCAAGAACTTTTTACATCATAGACTAACTTCTGTAATAATAATCCTTGCATTTAATAAAGCGCCTTAACATGTCTTCGAGACTTCTCAAAGAATATTACTCACTGTGTTCTTTAGTAAACCTTTTGGTCCAATCACTTTTTCAAAGATATGACGTCCAACATGAGCATCAACAGCCGAGAGTGGATCATCCAAAAAATAAACTGAACAGTCATTGTAAACTGCTCGAGCAAGATTTACCCTCTGCTTCTGTCCTCCTGATAAATTGACACCCTGTAGAAAATACATGGCAAATATATTAAGTTAGACGCTATATCACTCCTAAATCAAAATTATAAAAATGGTAGAGCTGGTTATATAAGGTTAATTTTGGCAGAAAATATTCATCTGAAGATGCTACTCATTTCAATATTACATTGCCAGGCAGCACTTTGCATCCAAATTAGTCCCGAGACTCCACTTAATTCCACGCAGGAGAATAGTTAGAATAATAAGAAATTGTTCAAGAAATATTATGGGATAAATGTCTTTAAATCTTTTCAATACAGTACACGATTATTAAGAATTATTCCCAATATGCTTTAAATTCACCAATATCTCAAAAGAATTTGAAATATGCAATGAATAAAATATATACTGAACCTTCTCTCCTATTTCTGACTCATCTCCTGCTGGCAGCATCTCTAGGTCAGGGAGAAGTGCACAGCTCCTAATCACTCGATTATACCATCCTTTATGCCAATCTTGACCAAAGATAATATTGTCCTTTAAAGTGGTATTCTGGATCCAAGCTTGTTGTGAAACATATGCCACTGTACCCTGTATATACGTAATAAATATACATAAATAAAATAAATGATAAATACGTTCCAAAATGTAATCTTCAGAGTCCAGCTTGCAGTTTTAAACACATGACTTGGTTGAACTAGAAAAATTAAGCAGCAAAGAAAACTATTAACTTGTTACTATTAACTAAAAGCTTTACACTTTAAAGCAAATTAATTCGATTTACAGAACAGAGATTATTCCTGTTGAAGAGCTTCCTAAACATAATTTCAACTTGCTTTATTGAAAAGACTTAAGGTTTTTGAAAAAATCCTAAATAAGTCAAGAACCTATATTACAATATAACTAATACATACATATATTGTTGACAGGATAAAGATTTCAAATAGAGTGAAAAGACAGAACCTATTCAATTAAGATACACAATGTTTTAAGCTTTGAAATAATTTAGTATTCTTCCTGCAATGTGAAAATATGGTGTATAGAAAAGGAAAAAAAAACACAGAAATATACTTCACCTTAACAGCAACATAACCTTCTTGTTTCTCCATTTCTCCAAGCAGTGCAGAGATCAGTGAGGATTTTCCACATCCAACATGTCCAACTACAGCTACGAGAGATCCTTCAAGAATGGCTAAATTAATGCTGTGAAAAANCACATAATAAACACAAACAAAATATCACTGTAAATTCACAAGAGTCATCAGAAATAACTCATCATTGACCTCAGATTCAGTAAAGTTCAAACATTAACTGTTGGAAAGTTGCCCCAATGGCTATATAAGTCATTGCAAGCCAGTTAGAATTACTGTAAACTGAATTCCCTTCATTTACTTTAGAATTACCAAATATAATTTCAAAAACCCTCATCGAGAATTGCTCCTTACTCTTTGAGGCATGGAGAATCATCCTTGGACCAACTTAAAGTTGCATTCTTCATACTAATACTGTATGCTGCTGATTAATGAAAGAATAAGAAAATGTCATTTATACTTGCATTATTTTACTTTTCCTAAACATAAATATGTTACCCCAAACAAGTAGAATATGTGAATATATGACCACTATTACAGAACTACCCAGTGTTTATTCAGGTTATTCCATTACGTACAGCCTTTCAGATCATTTCTGTTCACATTGCCTGGATCCAGTTCTTCATGGGAGAGAAACAAGCGCAGGCGCTTCAGAGAAACACTTGCCTGAAGAAAATCACAAGATCACAAGATCAGTTTGTTTCAGTTACATTAAGAGAAGAAAAACAAGCAATGGAATAGGGCCACTGAAGGTGGGTTTGGGAGACAACATGGCAAATAATGTTGCATGGGCTGCAATAGTGCTAAATAATTTTTTTGCCTCAGTCGAAAAGGAGGAGACGGGTAACCTACCTGATCTGGAAAGAGAACTCAAGGATGTCGCAGAAAAAAGTTGCAACACTATTCATATCACTACCAGCATGGTTGCCAAACAGCTGTGTAAACTTAAAGTAAATAAATCTCAGGGTCTGGATAAATTGCAACCGAGGATCCTTAAGGAACTAAGGGAAGCAGTAACAGAAGTACTTGCACAAATCTTTCAAAAATCACTGAATACTGAAGAGGTGCCAGGGGACTGGAGAATGGCAAATGTTATTTTTAAGAAACGTAACAAAAGTGACCCAGGAAACTATAGACCAGTAAGTTTGACATCCATTGTGGGTAAAATTATGGACTCTTGTTAAGGATAAAATCATGGAACATCTGGACATAAATAAAATCATAAATGATAGCCAATATGGATTCATAAAGGGAAGGTCTTGCCAATCTAATTTGCTAGTTTTCTTTGACGGTGTGACAAGGGAGCTTGAAAAGGGTAAGGTTGTGGATGTTGCATATTTGGATTTCAGTAAGGCCTTTGATACAGTTCCTCTTGAGAGGCTAGTATTGAAAGTAAAAAAAGCGTGAATCAGTGGACATATATTACAATGGAAATGCAATTGGTTGACCGGAAGAACCAAGAGGGTTGTGGTACAGGAAGTGTCATCGGACTGGGAAACTGTTGCCAATGGAGTTCCACAAGGGTCTATTTTGGGACCCCTTTTGTTAAATATTTTTATAAATGATCTGGAACTAGAAGTCACAAGTACAGTGATTAAGTTTGCAATGACACCAAGCTAATGAAGGTGGTAGATTGTGAAGCTGAACAAGATAGGCTACAGGAGGATTTGAACATACTTGGGAATTGGGCAGATCAGTGGCAGATGAAATTCAATGTGGAGAAATGTAAAGTACTTCACATAGAGACAAAAAATCCTAGAAGGGACTATTTTTTGAATGGAAGGAATATAATATATATGGAAAATGAAAAGGACCTCGGGGTCATGATTGACAATAAACTGAAAGCTCTCCCAACAATACTCTGTGTCAGTGGGTAAAGCAAACCAGATATTGGGATGTATCAAAAGATCAATAGCAAGCCCAAATAGTGGAGTAATCCTGCTACTGTATAAATCATTGGTGAGATCATACTGTACAGTTCTGTGTACAGTGTACAGTTCTGGTTGCCGCAGTACAAAAAGGATATTGGAGAAGAAGATACAGAGGAGGACAACCAAAATGATTGAAGGAATAGAAGAACTGGACTATGAGGAGCAACTAAGTAAATTGGGTATGTTCACGCTGGAAAAGAGAAGGTTGAGAGGCGAGATGATTGCTGTCTTTAAGATTCTACAGGGGCAAGACAATATAGATCATGACAGGCTGTTTCAACTTGTCCAGAATAGTAGAACCACAGGACTGTGATTGAAGGGGTTAAATTCAGAACGAATCTACAAAAATACTATTACAGTGAGTGAATAGTGAACCTGTGGAACAGGCTCCCCAGGGAGACAGTTGAAGCAGGAAGTGTTGATTCTTTCAAACACAGATTATATAGTTTTCTTTTAGGAAATAAAATTATGGGATATAGTACATAGGTAGTTTTGGACATATGTGCATGCGACCGCTAGGAAGGCAAACTAGATGGATCTTGGTCTTTTTTCGTCTAGTAGTTCTTGTTATGCTCAGGGAAACACTGGCCTGAAGAAAATCACAAGATCACAAGGTCAATTCTCCATTAGGGATTCTTAAGTCTTTCTTAATGTTACAAGATGCTGCTTTTCAATCCTTTATGAATTTACAGATAACAGCAAATAAATGAAAAACAAACACAAAATTTATATCATATGCAGCACTCTTCAATTATAAATGACATTCTTAAAAGTACAATATTTAAGGTATAATGTAGCAATATTAACTTCCAGCAAGATTTATATATTAACAGTAATACTGCAGTTGTCGGAAAATGTACTTACCTGTACCAAACTGCTGATGACCACGGGAAGCATGTTTAGTGGGAACCGGAGAATGTTGAAAAGTGCCAGAGAAACAAAAGCTTTTTGAGCATCCAACACATTGTGCTCATTTACAAGCACATATACTGCAAATGAGCTTAAAGCAACCTTTCAAATCAAAGCAAAATCACATACAATAGTTAGTTTATTGCATTGCAAGTATTTAATTCTATTTTTAAGTGTATTTTTTCAGAAAGCAAGGCCTCCGAGCACTCTTCATATTTATACTGTATATTAAAATTAAATACAACTGTACACACATACTGTTTGAACAGAATTCCTAGGAACACTGTAACCTCACATTCTCTGCTGATGAATAGAGTAGCTGCCTGATTTGTACAAAAGCACCTATAAATTTTGGAAAGTTGTTGCTTTTATCTAGAGGAAAATCCACATGCAGGATATGCAATCCTGAGAAACAAATTCCAGCATTGCCCCCAAGACAAACTATTCTCCAGCCCTTATTATCCTTAAATAGTTATTCCGTTCTGCTCTTTTGGACTCGGACTATATCTGTCTTCAATTATTAAACAGAACAGAACTCCTGTAAAATAAATGGGACACTAATTACTTGTTTACGAGACCATGCCGTGTAGGACTCACTAAATTTTAACCTTCATTTCTTCAACACCTAATCTTATGATAAACATTTACACAGTCATTTTAGATCCAAAATTCTTTCCAATCATAATATCTTTCCTAAACACATGTTACAGTATTACATATAGCAGACATTTTAATGTGCGTATTTCAACCTTATGTAGACATAAACAATTGCTTCAACTATTACATTGGACTTTCTAACTGCAGTTTCAAATATTATCTATTTAAATTGAAACTAATTTCACCCCCATTACTTTTCCTCTCACCTACAAACCTAAAAATCAGCTTTAAATGATTTAATTTGCTTTCTTCACAAACATTTAAAAGCCCTTTTTGAAAAAAAAGCAAGATAATCCTACTTAGATGGTTCATTCTTATGCTGTTGCGCTCCCTTTTGGAGTGACACAACCCATTAATCCCTCTTCATCTCTCCACTGACCTTCCTAGCTTCATGCTGTACTTGTTGTACGTTGCCTTTGCTGTACTTCTAGCTTGCTCCAAGGAAGCTTCCTAAACCACTTTAAAGGCGCTCTGCTTTTGTCGAATAGCTCTCCTTTCCTTTGTGGTTACTCTGACAGGGTGCCACTTCAGGGATGCACAATACTTTGGATTCAATGCTTAATCCTGATTACTTTTCTAATAATCTAATACTACTTTTGAATGGCTTTTTTTAAAAACTTGAGATTTCAAGATAATTTCTAAACTGTCACTCACCAGAAATGGTGCACAAATCCACGTGAATGTTGAAACTGCTGAAAAATAGGCAGCATTTTTGAGTACTTTGAGCTCCTTTCGACGAATTTGCATCACCTTCTCTTTAAATGCAAGTTCCCAGGCATATAATTTTATTACTTTGATTCCATTTAGAATCTCATTCATCAGTTTGATTCGGTTATCTTTTTCTTTCATCTGAGTCACCTGCATTTAAAAAGCACAAATCTATCAAATAGAGAGTACAAAGACACTCTACATGTTAGCATAGATGATGGCCAACCGTTAGATAGTTAGACAAAAGATCAATAAAGCAAAGTGATTAAAAAGCAATTAGCTGTGGCATACTGAATTAGTACTTTGGTGACAGATCACAGAATGATGAAAGGATACCATTGCTGACATACCTGGAGATCTTTGGTCTTCATTGCAATCATACTATTTATAGGGACCAATAGGATCATGACAGCCACTCCTGCTAGAACTGATGGTCCCAAGTTCTAAATATATATATACACAAAAAAGTATTTATTAACTATCAGTTTACTTTTGCAAAAGATTTAGAAAGCTTTCACTAAGTTATAGAATTTCTCCATTTGAATTCATTACCTGCCATAGAAAGTACATGGCTAAAGTAACCTGGAGTGGTGCTGACCACATCATGTTTATGTACGTTATCAAATCCATAAGCCTCTGTGCATCCACAGACATCAAGTTTACAATTTCTCCAATTGTAGACGTTTTTCTTGCCTCATTTGTAATAACGAGGGCCTTAATGTAAGAAAACAAAAATTGTACATATACAATTTTCAAGACTTGCTTCTTTAACCGCGCTTCTTATTATCTTTTCTTCTCCCCACCCCACCAGTGTAAAGCAAGAACTTTGAAACATCTCCTGAAGTGAAAAGGCGCAATACAAATTGAAATTGTACTGAACTGAAATGCCCTCAGCAGTAATTGCAAATCACATCCAAAAAAATGGTTCAAGAATAAACTTAATTTTAAAGTCACTTACTTAAGAAATTAAACTGGTATATCTCTTTGAATTCAAATGTTTTATTAAATTATATTTGGTTACTGAATATTGAAGTGTACCAAATTCAATTAATAAACAAAAAAGTTAATAGATTTATAGTTTCATAATAATTTCCTAATTATAGCAGTATGTTATTTTAATAAATACCTATCTATTACAGAAATACAAGTTGAATTTTACATTATTTACATTTTTCATCACCCTAACTATCGTAGTTAGTAAATGAACACTTACCTTCCTGTAAACTGCACCAATGATTGCAGTTTTCAATCTCATTCCAGTCACAAAACAAATATGGAAATACTGATGGAGGAAAAGTGTCTGTACAAATGCACAGATGAACAACAGGATAGCATAAAAATAGCCTTGCCAGACTGGAGCAAAGTGGTTATTCACAAACCCTAACAGCAACCTGTTAAGAAAAACAATGAAGTCATCAAAACCCTAGGCAGAATTGTACCCTTGTAAAATTTGGCATACATTAAAGTGCACAGCTTTGCAGGCCAATGGCATTGTCATTATTACAATAACTACCTGGAATACTAAATAACCAAACCTTATCTGAAATTTCTCAAATGACAAATTCCCAACCTCAAACTGAAGGTATTGCATAAGATCCCGATGCCAAGCGCATTTCCTTGAGATAGCTCAGTTCCAAGGAAAAATCGCTTACTTTCCCCCAGGAAAGATAGTCATTATGCAATCGGTCCATATAATAGATAATGCTTTATGGGAGGAAGAAATGCTTAAAAATGGTATTACCCCCAGGTACTCTTCATTGCTTTCAGAATTCATGTAAATGGTTGGTATTATAGTAAATTCTGTAAAATGCTTTTCAACGATAATAAAAACCTGACTATGCCTTCAGCCACTGCCCCCAACCCCCTATCTCCCACCCAGGTCGAGCTCTCATTTTGTCTCCATAAAGCTTCTCTTTGAGATGCTCTTCTATGTGAAAGGCACTATTAAAATGTAAATTGTTGTTATTACTGTGAGCTAATTAATCAAATTAAACTGTGTTCATTATTTTAAATGCATATCTACATTTACAAGATAATTCATCTAAAATACACAATGTACCAGGGTAAAGATTATAAGACAAATGCCAATTGATTTCATTGACAATTGTACCAATTAGGACACATCATAAGTATTAAGGGGTTTTGGGTAAAAAAAAATGCAACCCACCTCATGATCTCAGGACTAGCAAACACCAACACGTCATGGAAAATCTTGAAGAAGAAGCTTATCATTAGGTATGGTCCAAAGGCTCTACAAAGTGCTTTCAACAATGAAGGCTCCATGTTCTGTTTCTTCTGAATTAATAATACCTCAGATTGTTCAGTATTCTCATTCTCATGCTCCTTATTGGCTCCGGTTTTCTCTTTCTGTTGTGTGTGGACTGTTTCGGGTCTTTTCAAAATATAAAACCAAGAGCATTTGATTGAATACAGGCACTATTTAGAGCAGATTAAATGTTATCACAATTGACCATAAATTAACAATTGATACAGCAAGGTTTTGAAAAAATGTTTACTTGTTTCAGTTTCCAATTTTTTTTAAAAAAAACACACATCAGCACACGCAAACATCCATTTTAGAAAAGTGAGTTTTATTTAAAATTTCTGGGAATGTTTAAAAAAAAGCTCCCTTACTTTCTCATCTTAGAACATTCCTTCTTCCACTCATAAACTAGCTCTGGCACAATCTTCTCTGATGTATCGTTTTCATTTAGAGACCACAAATCTTTCGCCTCCAACGGCCGTTTATACCCCAAAATTGTCAACCTAGTGCGATGCAAGTAATGCAAGAAACAAAAGTATTAAAAGTGTAGGGTCAACATCAACTCCTTCCTACTTATGTCAGTCAATCTGTCCATCATAACTGGAACTTGAAAATATACTGTACAATTTCACTTATATTCTAAATTTGACAACTTAAATTGGAAAATTCTCATGAAGATTTAACTTATTAGTGAACCTTACTCCAAGAGCCAAATTATATAGAAGCAAGACGTAACAAAATAAAGTTTCTGCTAATTTTTTTTAACTTTTCCAGAATATCTTGAGATGATCTAGCTACATAACTGTTGTGTAGATATGGGTTTGTACCAATATGAATTTAAACCGCAATAACAATTTGCACTTATATGGTGTCCTCCACGCAGGGTAGCGTCTCAGAGCGCTTAAAAATATTTAATAAATGGTTTAGTCGCACTGGCACAATCCCACTCATTCTGAGATAAACACTTACCTATCTATAACCCTCCTCCATCAAGACCACAACATTGCATTCTCCCAATATGGTTGTTTTCTTTAAATCCCAATATTTTTTCAGGGAAGCATTAAAGTCTAATCTTGCTTCTATACAGCACTGTAGCAATGGATTCTCAGCCACTTTTAAACATTTTTATTAATTATGAATTTAAACATATATTTAAGGATGTTAAGCTTCCATGTACAAATATTATAACTTTGACAAGGTCAGATATAGTTTTTGCTGATTCTATTTTGTTCAATTTGGCCTTCAAATCAGTTTTTTTTTGTTTAGCTCTTTTTTGGCATCACAACGCTTCAGATTGGCAGCAATGGTGTCAAGTAGTATTTAAACTGTATTTGTAAGCAAACCACTGCTTTCCTAAAGAATACGTACAAATAAAAGATAGGGTATGTTTCCTTATATTTTTTAAATGTTTATTGTGAAAATGCAAGGGAGGAAATCAAACACTTCATATTTATACCTACTCTGTAAACCACCAGAATGTTATCCTGGCCAGGAATGATGCCTTTGACTCTGGGCAGGGATTCTGAACCAAGACACAGAAAATGTAATTAATTACACCACTGAAAATAAAACTCACAATAAACTGATCTTTAAAATGTTCAATTAAGTTGAACCTATCTCAAAGTACAGCCTCGCAGAAGATGGTTTCAATAATAATCCACACATTTGATGCAGCACCGTATCATGTCTTTGAGACATCTCAAAGCTCTTCACGGAATATACTCGAAAGAGAATTGATTCTATATTTTATGGTCAAAACACAGCAGCGACTCGCACACATCAGTATCCCACAAACAGGCGTGGATTGAATGACCAAATAATTATTTTTATTTATTGATTTTTGAAGGAATTATTACCCTCGAAAAAGTGATCTGCCAATCAACTAACAAATGGGTTCCTACTTACTGGTAGGTTAAACAAAAGCATGTGGAGTAAGGAAACTTGCCTAACGTTTCGCCCTGTCAGGAATCAAACCCAGGTCCTCTCACTTGCGAGGTCAGAACTCTAACCACTACACTACAGGACTAGTAAAAGAAGTGACTTCAGTAAAGATACTCCAAACTAAGATGACGGCAAACAGTCTTCTTGGTTTGGCAGTAAGAAAAATTATAAATGAATCGCAGCAGTTGCAATTCAATCTATTTATATCATTTACTTTGCAATACGACAGAATGCCCGGTAGCCACAAATAGTAAGCAGATTCAAAAACAGTTTGGATATCAGGTCTCATATGTACATCTCTGCCTCTATGTGCTTGCATTGGTATGTTTGTTGTGTGTCTATAGTCTCTGCCTCTATGTTTGTATCTCGCTTTTGTCAGTCACCCCTTTTGTTTTCTACACCTGTCTGTTGTTTAATCACATTGAGTAATGCTTTAAATACATTTTTCATGTATTTAACATTTTTGATACTCTTGTGCCATCAAGTCTGACTCTAGCGTTGATTGCAACAATTTAGTGGGTAATATTCCAATATGCTAATTAAGGATTGGAAGTGGACTTGGCAACTGAGGGGAGGGTCTGATTGGGTCATAAAAAAGGCACCAATTACATCAAGTAATTGGTGCAATACAATTACCATTGGGTACCCTAACTCGGGGAGGGGATCAATGCCCATAAAAGAATGAGAGCTAGGTGCTCATGGTTGCTATTTTTGTACCTGATGACAACAAAAATACAAGCTCTGACTATCAATGCGTAGTAGTCAGAGGTTGGTTCTTCTTGCACTCTTACATTAACTTTATTGCCAGTAGCTGTGATTAATCACAGTGTGATTAACGTTTGTTATCTCATAGTTGTGTTTGTTGATATTTAAGGTGTTGTTTAAGATTTAATGCTGAGGGTTGTTGATTTCATTGAAGTTACATTAAAATTCTATTGCGCTAACTTAACAGTGCTTTCTCAAGCTTTTTTGTATAAATCAAAAAGTTCAGCCGAGGTCACAGAGGTGTAAAATAAGCCTCTGATTAACTGAAGCTTCCCAATTAGCTTTAATTTAAATAAATTACTCATTAATCAAGTTAAACCTAGTTATAGGGACTTGCATTCATTAGTAAGGATTCAACTCAGGCCACCCAGTACACTGCTAGTGAGAGCAAGCCATATCGTGAGTGTCCATGTAAGAACATGATAGAACTGTCTCACCTTCTTGTATTTATCGTGCTTAAATCTCTCCACATTATTTACAAAACATCATGTACCTGGTAACTTTGTGAGCATACACACAACTATAATTATTTGTTGACATTGACTTTGTTGACATTGCAACCTGACTTAATTTCCACATTGAAGACCCATAAGTGCACATGTGGACATGCATGTAGACAAGAAACTGGGTGTTCGTTCGGGCATTCTACAGTACAAAGGTCTGAATATCTTTGTTGTTTAGAAATTGATAATACTTACAGTACTCAGAATAAGTTGAAAGAAAGGTGGGTCATCCGTAAAACAGCAGAGCACAAATTCTGCCAACACCATGGTAAAATTGAAGAAAAAAATTATGTGATCAACCAGATCAAAATGAGCAGGCTAAAAAAGAAAATAAATGTTAGCTACATCATTTAAAATGTTTAAACTTCCTTCACTCAAGTTATTGTTTGCAATGGTCACTTTTATCCACTGACAATGATATCGTATTCAATGTATATTTACCTTTTACCTAATTTGTACATCAGGATATGAACAAAAACTATTCATTGTTTCCTTAGCTTTACACGAGGAAAGATCAATCAAATATTCACCAGCAGCAGATTGTGTTTTTCTACCAGGTCTTTAGAATTGTGAGGGGTCAATAGGGAGAAATGACTTCCATTGGTTGGCGAGACAGTGTATAGTGGGCCTCAATTTAATATAAGGAGATTAGGAGGAGATTAGGAGGATTTTGTTTTAATACAAACAAAAAATAGAATCTATATTGGCTTTCATATTCACCAACACAAATTTGGAGCTAGTTTACAAATGACTGAAATCGAGTGACCAACAGAGTAAAATAACTGTTAATAGAAAAGAAGGAACAAATGTTATTCTTACCGGATAAAGCAGGTTCATTACAGTAGACCTAAACTCTATGGTGCTACACAATAATGTAAGCAACCAAAAGAGGAACATAACAGCAGAGGACCTCAAACCCTTCAACCTCTCGAACTGGATGATGAAAACTGCAAGCAGCTGAAAGTTTTTTAAGAAAGAGAAAATCAACGGCATTTTAGAAAGCAACTTAAAATAATTATTGCATTAAAAAGCCCTTCACATTCAACTTATTAAAATTTGCATATGGAAGTGCACATCATGCCCACTAAAGAATGTAATGCTCCAGTATTTAGTAGCGATTTTCTTTAACTTTCAGAAAAAGGAGCTTTCAAAAGAGACATCTTAAAGTAGATGTTACAAAGGTACAATAAGACGCTAAGTGGAATTGAGAAGTAAAGCAGAATATTTAAGATACACCAAGGCAGCAGGACATGAGCGAACAGGATCAGGGCAGTAAAAGGTATTCACAATTCGAGATGAGCAGACATATTGTTTTGGTGATCAAGGCATTAACATTTCTATGCTTCTTAATAAAGAATTTTATTCTTACAAATAATAAAGCTTAATCTTTCCATACAAGAATAGTGAAGGTTGCAACACTCAGAAGTTTGTTGTTCCATTGAATGTTCCCTTCTCATCATATTTTTTCTAAACGTATGAATAAAATAATTCAATTACCATTGTAACTCCAAGAAATGCAGGACCTAAGATCAAAACCGTGGCATGCCCGAAGCCTCTACTTTTCTCCAAAATAATGTTTAAAACCTGGGACCAGCAGGATAACCACAACAGAAATCCCAGCAACTGCAATAAAACAAATAAATGCTGAATATATTGCACATTTGATATCAAATCTAGTTATATCCATTATTAACTAGGATTGAATCTCTATACAGATTCCTTCACTTTTTTTAGCAAACAGTAATGTAATAGTACAAAAGAAATCCAATTTAGACTAAACAAATTCTATAGTAAATTCAACATATTATTTTATACTTCAGTCCCAATGCAAACATGTTATCCAATCCAACACAAAGTTAAAGCTTGCTTCAGTGAGAAATGTGGTACACTAATGCAACTACTGTAAAAAACAGGAATAGTGACAGTTATGTATGCTGTTCTGGATAGCATTTCAGTCTATAAAATTTCCTGAACCTGAATGTTACATGCATCCTATTATAGAAATTACGATATAGTCTAGTGATTACAATTTCTGGAAGTGATAAGTAATAAAATAGTTTAAGATGGTCTCATTCTCACCGTTTTGGATTTATTGAGATTTGACATTCTTATATAACCTTGTTTACGATAATAAAGAAACAGTGTATAAAACGGAAAACAAAGCCAGAGAAAGATGCACGGGATCCAGATTAAGACTGTTTTCTTGAAACAAATTGTAAAATCTGGATCCTGTGTGTGCCAGGTTAAGTTGGAATCCTGCAATACAAAAATATTCAGAATCAATAACATCCACAGCACAATGCACAATACAATATAGTTTTCTCATCATCAATTTTTAAAACAAATATGGTGGCATTTTAAAGTACAGTACTTTGCCAACATAAATAACCCAGGAAAATGTGATGTAAATACATAAAATGTACAGTAAAGTGGTACACTGACAGAAATTAAAGTGATACGAATGTGTGCCACTCATGTAGGTATCATTTATTTTCACACCAGAGGAAATTGGAATGCTTTCCTTGCCAGCTTCTACCTATAATTTGACAGTTGAACTCTGAACAAGATTAAGTGACATTGTTAGGTAGAGAATAGAAGGGAGGAAAATTGCCTATTTGACTAGATTCTCTCTCACACAAACATCTTATATCTGACACTGCATGTCAATGGTAGCAAAATGTTCCATTCCTCAGGCTGAAAAACTCATGTTGTACAGAAAAATCCATCCAATACTCCTTCACACAGATTTACCATACTGCCAGCAAACACAGCAACCAAATTGCGCACAGCAAAGTCTGACAAACAGCCATGAAGTGAATAATCAATCTTAAACGTAATTGTTGGCTGTGATACAGGGAGAAACCCTCTTTTCTAACAATGCCCTGTCCACAGTAGATGGGACCTCAGTTTACTATTTCATCTGAAGGATGGTGCAGTTTGAAAAAAGTGCTTTGCTAGAGAAATATTCAAGGCAGTGGCAGTGCTTCTGAAGCACGTGGATGCATTAAATAAGTTTAACAAATTAATCCTGTTTAAGAATAAGGGCCTTTGAGAGTTGTGCTTTCTCCTATTGTATTAGAAAAAAATGTAAAATAGCCGATCACCTCATTAAATCATTGTTTATACAGTTATCTTAATATGGAAACAGTTTATCAGCATGTTTCAACAATTTATCTTTTTCACACATCATTGGTCTTATATTTTGTTGACAGAAATAAGGCAGGACTATTGATTTCCACAAGAGGTCAGCAACAATGTTACAGAAGAGGTTTAGGCAATAACATTATTTAGATTCCCTGAGATCACTGGGTTAATACTAAATAGCCTTGCAATTTTTTCTTGCCTTCAGCGTGAAACCCTCCCAAACATCACTAACTGGTAGAATTTATTATTTTACAGCCAAAAAAGTGGGAATATCTCCCAGTTTTTTTTATTAAAATAACCATTTTAGAAGCACAACTGTTTTGTAATCAAAGAACTGCATATCGCATCGGTTTAGAAAATACAGAAGTCGGAAAGCTATGAGCACATTTCTCAGTCAGGTTCACAGGATTAAGGCCTCAGCAAATCAAGCGTCTGATGCTCATCCAAATGAGCTACAAGTCATTATACTGAAACTATTGATACAAAATTCTTATATATTCTTGTATTTAATATAGCCCCTCATCACATCACTGAGACATCTCAAAACGCTTCACAGAATATATTGTAAAGTGGATTGACTGTATTTTGTGGGCAAAACTAGCAGCCAATTGTGCACAGCAATGTCTCACAGACAGTCATGAATTAAATGTTAACACTGGAATGGATTGCAGTATAATTACCTGTTAGGTTACATATTGAGTGGCAGAAAACTAGAATTTCAGGCTAAGCTACGTAAAAGTATTTTTCACCAGAAAGTGCGACGACTGGGTACAGTGAACATAAGAGTGCAGAATGTGGGAATAAATTAGGCGTTTCTCAAGACGAGTAGGAGGTAACTAATGGCGGAAGGTGGGAGCAATGTATAGTTGGGAGATACCACCCTTCAGAAGTACTGTTTAAACCAAAGCACCGTGCTGTTTCCAGCGCCTTGGGACGTCCTCCCGATGTGAAAGGCCCTACACAAATGCAATTTTGTTGTTGCTGTCGTCGTCTCGTCAGGTGAACCTTAAGATCCTGTGGCAGTAGCGGAAAAGAGGAGGGAATTTTCCCTCAGTGGCCTGGCCAACAATCTTTACGCGCAACAATCTGGGGCTTCGGATTGACCTTACTTTTTTTTTGGTCTGGCACACGCGGAAACCCATCAGCGCGTGAGCTTAAGGGTCTCCAAACCAAGCCGAGATATCCCTGCATCCCAAGTTACACAAAGTATCCTTATGGATAGCGGTGGAGGGATGGATGGATAGAGAGAAGTGGGGGCGGGGGGGGGGGGAGAGAGAGAGAGAGAGAGAGGGGGTTTGGGGACAGAAAAATTTCTCGCAACTTGACCAACCGCCATTGGCTGAACTGAACTTGGATGGGAAGGATGTGACACTCGTCTCCCCCTCCCGCAAAATAAAATAAGTGAACAAGAAGCACGGCCACCGGTCGATTTTGTCACACACGGCTTTGCGTTGAGGTGGGGGGGGGGGGACCTCTCGGAGGTTGTCCCGAGCCTGAAGACCCTTCTTGCGTCAGGGTCATGTCGGGGAGGCGGTGAAAATAAACCGGGAGGGGGGGGGGGGAGGGGAGGGCGAGGCGGTTTCGGTGTCGAACCGAGAGTCGGTCGCCCGTCCCACGGCGACCCAAAAGCTGGAGGGGGGGAAAAAAAAACACACGAGACACGCGGGGGGCGGAAGCGACCGCCGCGGAGGCCGCAGAGGCCGCCACGACGACGACGACCACCCACCCCTTTAGGCTCCGCCATGTCCAGGCCCCGGACTCGGAATAAAATTAACGTGACGTTGAGGGACAATAATACAGCGACTGACAGGAATAATTAATAAATAAATACCCTCTCTCTCTCTCTCTCTCTCTCGCTCTTCTCCCCCCCACCCACCACCACCAAAAAAAAAAGGACTATAATTCCTCACCCAAAATGTATGTTCGCCTTTCTCAGAGCAGATGCGGTTCATCGTGAGGGATTTGATCGGCGACTCCGCGCGAGCCGGCGAGACGCCCCCCCCCCACCACCGACGTACTGGCGTCGCCCCCGCGCCGCGTCGCGCCGCGCGCTCTGTGCCGCTGACGCCTCGCGCCTGCCACGCTCATTGGCTCCCCCCCCCCTCCCCCCGCCCCGCCCCCTGCCCGCGCGTGGCGGCAACCGCCCGCCCACGCGCCCGGTCAGCCCCGCCCACTCGCTCGCCCCCCCCTCCTCTCTCTGCCCCCCCTCCTCTCTCTGCCCCCCCACCTCCCTCTGCCCCCCCCCACCTCCCTCTGCCCCCCCTCCTCTCTCTGCCCCCCCCACCTCCCTCTGCCCCCCACCTCCCTCTGCCCCCCTCCTCTCTCTGCCCCCCCCTCTCTCTGCCTCCCCCCACCTCCCTCTGCCCCCCTCCTCTCTCTGCCCCCCTCCTCTCTCTGCCCCCCCCCTCCTCTCTCTGCCCCCCCTCCTCTCTCTGCCCCCCCACCTCCCTCTGCCCCCCCCCCCTCCCTCTGCCCCCCCTCCTCTCTCTGCCCCCCTCCTCTCTCTGCCCCCCCCCTCTCTCTGCCTCCCCCCCTCTCTCTGCCTCCTCCCCCTCTCTTTTCCTCTTCTCTCTCTCCCCCATGTGAATGTAAAAGCTGTCACTTTTTCAAAGAAACATTGGAGTCTTTCTCCTGTTCATTTGTAATTTATATTCACTTCCAAATTCAAATTTACTTAAAATTCAAATTAGTTTTGCGGGTCTTTGCTGGTCAATTTAGTTTCCGTTATTGCCTATGCAAAAAAAAATGCTTCAATTCTAATCAACCGTCTCAAAGCAAAGCTCTTCGGTACTTTTGATTGTAAGTGAAATGCTCTATATAAATGCAAGTGGTTGTCATTGTAAATTGTTGTAATGTAAGAGGGGAATAAAACTGTTCAAAAGACCTTTCAGGAGATGTTCTCGTCACGTTACCTTCTGAAAAACAGCAACACATAAACGTTTGAATATACTGTATTAGAAAACACCGCAACAGTAGATCTAAACTATTTGGTCCGAGTCCAGAATATCAGTTCAAGGTTGTAACTTTCCACTTGTTACCATTTCAGGCTCCTGTTCTGGAAACTTCCTGCGAGATATAAGTAGACACTAAGTCTTATTGAAAGGTGAAGAAGAACACAGCAGACCACGATGATCTTTATTTTGCTGATGGAAGTTGACGTTTCTAACGACAAAAATGATAATAATAATAATAATAAGCTTTGCCTTTGAACATGGTGCCCTTTTACATCGTATGAAGAAGCTTCGCAGGATTTTATTTGTTATTGGCAAACGAGGCAGGCAACTTGCACACCGCAGTGCTGGTATAGTCTTGGGAATCCTCTACTGGCAGCATTTCTTCTCTCTTTGTTGTGTGGCATCATGACGTAACAAAGTAATGATTAAAGTAATACAAATGGTGCAAAGACAATGTCTTGTTTGTCTTCGCGGTCAGATAACACTGGACAGTTGAAACATTGAGAGGGCACAGTTTTACCAACGGCCATTGTCAGCTTGGCTCAGTAGCCATTCGAAAAGAGAAGGGAGTTTCTCTATGCCGGTGTCCCTGGCCAACCATCTCCCGACTAAAACAAAAAGTCAACGCGCTCTCCACGGCTGCTTGTACGACAATTGCTGGGTTTGGCCCACAAAACGCACAGTCACTCCACTTCACTGCATATATCCCCGTGAAGCGCTCCGAGTCAGTCCCGAAGGAGCGATATCCAACGCAAGGGTTATTATTATCATCATTATTATTATTATTGTTGTTATTATTATTTACGGGATAGGCTGCGAAGCCCTCGAGACGACTCAACGGCCAGGGTGAGGCGCTGCGTCAAATGCAACGGTTATTATTAACAGTATTTAAGACAGAATGATCTTAACAGGGCTATTATATATATATTATATATATTATATAATATATATATATAGATAATATATAGTGTGTATATATATGTATATAATGTATATAAAATAGGTGGAGAGTGAAGCCCAGAGTTCAGGTGCTCTGAGCACAGCCAAACGACAGCCGTTACCATGGAAACCACCACATCCGGGCTCGTCGGAACCTTTCACCCCTCCTCCCCCCCCCCACAGTGAACGGCCATCACACGAATGGCGACCATCAACGAGCTGAAGAACGGTGAGCGCCGAGGAGAGGGCGGGGGGTGTGTGTGTGTGTGTGGGTGGGGGGGGGGGGAGCCGGTCTGGAGGGGGGAGAGGTGGAGGGGGGGAGGGGGACAGAGGAAAGACCCTGCAATCGGCCCGGCATCACAGGATTGTAAGGGCCCCCGTTAGCCGCTGCCCCGGGGGGAGGGGGGGGGCTCGTGCAGGGCCTCGCGCGGTGGATAACCCCCCCCTGTCCTCTCACTGGAAGCTCTATCGCTTCGTCTGGGGCCGTTGGTGCCTCTATACCCCCCCCCCCCCCCCCCCGCACACCTCCCTCCTTCCCCCCCACACACACCACAACGCTTTGCGGGATGTTTCAGCCGCGGGGGGTGGGGTGGGGGGGGGGGGGGGTTAGACCGGGCTCGGGAGTCATGGACAACAGTGACCCCTTCTCAAGCAATAATTGTGTGCAATATCGATAATTGTGTGCAATATCGGTAATTGTGTGCAATATCGGTAATTTGGGGCAATATCGGTAATTGTGTGCAATATCGGTAATTTGGGGCAATATCGGTAATTGTGTGCAATATCGGTAATTGTGTGCAATATCGGTAATTTGGTGCAATATCGGTAATTTGGTGCAATATCGGTAATTTGGTGCAATATCGGTAATTTGGTGCAATATCGGTAATTGTGTGCAATATCGGTAATTTGGTGCAATATCGGTAATTGTGTGCAATATCGGTAATTTGGTGCAATATCGGTAATTGTGTGCAATATCGGTAATTTGGTGCAATATCGGTAATTTGGTGCAATATCGATAATTTGGTGCAATATCGGTAATTGTGTGCAATATCGGTAATTTGGTGCAATATCGGTAATTTGGTGCAATATCGGTAATTTGGTGCAATATCGATAATTTGGTGCAATGTTATTTTCTTAACTTCACAGTTTTGAAAGAAACCTTGGAAAAAAGGGGAGTTCTGGGACAGCTGAAAGCTCGAATTCGGGCGGAGGTTTTCAGCGCCCTCGACGATCAGAGTGAGCCACGGCCACCGCTGTCCCACGAAAATCTTCTCATCAATGAGCTTGTCCGAGAATATTTGGAATATAATAAATATAAATACACAGCTTCGGTACTAGCGGCAGGTAAGGACCTGTGCCAAAAGGTGTCAGATAGTGTTTAGATTTTACGTGCAGCATTGTGTTAAAATGCTAAATATTTCCCCCCTACTCCTCTCTTACCTATAATAATAATCCTTGCACTCGATATAGCGCCTTATCACGTCTTCGAGACGTCTCAAAGCGCTTCACAGAATATACTGTAAAGCGAATTGACTGGATATTTTTGCGGGTGAAACGCGGCAGCCAGTTGTGCACAGCACCGTCCCACAATGGATTGAGTGACCGAATTATTATTTTTCGATGGAGGGATTATTACTCCCGGAAAGCGATCTGCCAATCGCCTAACAAACAGGTTATACTCGCTGCGAGATAAACAGAGGTTTGTGGGGTAAGGAAACTTGCCTAAAGTTAATCTATGTCTAAATATCGCCTAAACTCCGATCTCTTTGACCGTGTCTATGGTCATCTCCCCTCCTTCCTCCTCCCTTGCTTGGTGTTCAACCCAATCAATGTAATGCTCCCAAGATATTAGCCTGTGTGAGAGGTGCTATAAAATCACCAATATACTGCTTCACTATCGCTTGCATTCAGAAACTTGATCAAAATTACACGACCCTAAATCTGTTTACCACTTTTATATTTTCAATTTAGAAGCTGGCCAACCAGAAATAGCATTGGATAGACAATTTCTCCTGAATGAACTAAATGTAGTTGAAGATTCATGTGCAAAAACAGTGTAAGTTTTTTTCATTTAAATTTTTAAAAAAATGAATTGGTTGTTTAATTTAAGACTGTAATTTATCTATTTCTTCAATTTTTAAAGCAAGTAAAGAGGAACCGTTTTCCTATTGCCTTTTTCTTGCTCATCCTACACCATCTGAGTAACCTGTTCTAGCCCTTATTACCTCTGGGTGAAAAGAATTTCATCCTGAAATTGCCCTTTCCAACTCGAAACCCGTGTCCTCTTGTTCTGTTGTTTTGGTGCATTGAAAGTGTGATTCTGAGTTTACTTTTTCAAGCACTCTCAGTAAATTATCTGATTATATTTTGTTTTTTTGTTAAGTCCTATTCTCTATGGAATTCTAGCTCAGTTTACAAATAGCAGCAAAGATGACGGAATTAAACCTCTAATTCATCAATGTGTATCCATGCCTAAAATGAAGAAACTGACTATAAGACAACCAACTGAAAAACTATGTTTAGGTAAGCTATCGTAAAGCTTAGCACAAATGTCTTTTTAACTCAGTTCTGAGTTCCATTATATCATAAGTACTTTTTTAAAAAAATAAACGTGTGCGTATATGGTCGGAATTGCATTGGCCATGGGTAAAGCTTATGTTTTTCTGTAGAGAACAGTTCTTTTAACATGTTGTATTATATAAGAACAAGTAGATGGCGCCGGACTCTACCAAAATGAAGAAAACATGTCTTGAGTTTCAACCGACAGCAATAAACTGACCAACAGCAACAAGCCTTCCAACATCACATGCTTCAAACAATGGAGGGAGCTTGAAACCCTTATTTCTTACAGTTGTATTCACTCATTTTGAGCTTTACTGCAGCCTTTCAGCTTCAGTGTACTTTGAAAACCAACAAACTATTATGAGAAAATCTAGATGCTGAAGAAGTGACATGATGCAAGAGCAATAATACTTTGTGCTATTATGTACCATTTTTAATTTCCCTCATCAACAAGTGAAATGAAAATTCCAACTGGTAGTATATTTTGGGAAATTATAGCATATCTAAACAAAAAATAAACAAATACTCTTACTATTTTCCTTGTGTTGCCAGCAAGCTTCGTGGAGGCATGATTTAATGTTTAGGCTGAAAAACTTGAGTTTGGCTGAAGTCGACTCTCAGTAAATAATGTGAAGAAACATTTCATATTTGGTGCTGCTGCTATATAAATTGTCTCGGTGATACCTCTGAATTTGATCAAAACTGAAAAGAGAATTATCAGACTAAGGGCTGAATTATATTTTTTTACTTTTACTTTTTTTAAAAATTTTCCCAGCGCTTTCCCAACGTGAAATGCACTATACAAATGAAATTTTGTGCTGTTGTTTTGGAAATGTTTCCTCAACCGTGTTTTTTCAGTATATTTGTTTTTTTCTTTGTAAAAGGGCATTCAAGAAGTACTGACGTGTAACATGATTTATAAGTATTCAAGAGATGATGAGGTGCAGCAAAATGCATTTTTAATACCCTGCCATAATTTATATCCATACTTCCATTACTCCCAACGACATTTCCTCATTTTCCCTCCCCTCACACTTTTTTGTCCTTTGATATTATGGAGCTCTGTTTGTTAGTATCATCTTTTCTTTTTTCCCCCAGGTCACATCCCTGAACCTGGTGTATTTGCGGGAACAAGCATGGAAGATCATTTTGTTCTAGCTGGACATCAATGACATTTGACCTTTCCTTTACCAGTTCACAGTCAATGGTTCAGTAATGGCAACTGTGAGCCAATAAAGCTAATTTTCTAATCCTTCATAAAGAAAAATGGCTAATGTTGCAAGACAGTAATTTAATTAAGTACTCAGCTGAGACCTGTACATCAGCATTAAAATCAGAAGTTTTATTGCTCTCTTGGCTCTTTTTTTTAAAAAAGGGGAGAAATTGGAAATTATGGATAACTTGCTTGTTTTGAGGGTTGTCTTGGATTGTTTGAATAATTTCAGAATACCAAGCACTGATTGCTACTATAAACATACAACATCTGTATTTGTGCTGTTGAAAAAATGTTAAAAGGATTTTGAACCATAGAAATACATAACTGTATGAGGACATTTGACCCTTTTGTGTCAGTAAAAAGCCATCTATCCTAATCCCAATCCTCTTCTCTTCCCACTAATACCTTTCCTTAAGCCTTACCTCTGACTGTGCCTATGGTCATCTCGTGGAAGACTAACCAAGTTTTGTTACAAATTGAACTGTGAAGCACAATCATTCTCAATACATGAATAGTGATGACCATCAAACTGAAAAATGTTACCAGATTGTTCAGCTTTTCATTTCATTAAATGAGTAAACAGCTGTTATCATTCAGTAGCCTATTTAAAGTTGTCATCCTTGGGATTTTCAAATATTAAAAGTAAAACCACAAAGCTGACTTGATTTGACAACTCATTTAACATGTGCCTTACTTTTTTAAATAATTATTTATTGTAAAACTTTTGTATTTAATAAATTTGACTTTGTTTTTTGAAGTTGCAAATATTTTAAACTCTTTAAAATGTGGTTCCCTACATTTACTGCACCATTTCTGATGAACAGGAAGGGGTAGACAATTCTACCCTTTTTATTCATGTGACACTAATTTGATGGTGTAAAAATGCTGAAAGTTAATATTGGTTGTATGCTTAGAGTTCAGAAGTTGAATGTTATCCTGACACTTAATAGCATGATGTTTTTATATATTTGTCTTTTTTTAAATAAGCTGGGTATATGGCACAGGCAAAACCATTGCCTCACTTAAGAGTATCCAACCAAACTGCTGATGTTCCACATCTGCATGGTTTTCCTATGATATGGAGTACTTGCTCCCTCACAGGAATGAACCCTGCTTGCTTACTTACTCCCAAGAGAATTTGGGTGCATGTTGGCAAGAGTCAGGCTCAGAGTGTGCTTTGGGATACTGCTGGAGTCTAACCATCTAAAACCATTGTGAATACTGGCAACTTTTCACTGCTACGACTCCACCAGCTGTTACAGATTGGGTGTGCGAGATTATCAGAAGCAAAGTGAGAAGTATCTAAGTCCCCAATGATTTATCTGGTCCTCTTAAGTGCTGCAAAAGGAGCCAGGCTACCTGGTATGTCATAGACAACGCTCTGGAGTTTGGGCCTGCCTGGCACAATTATCACACTACTGAGACCTATCTGGTTCAGCACAGAGAATCATTTCCAATCTTCCATTGCCAGATCAGTCACCTTGGAGCCACCTCAGCCTCATAAAGAGCCAGTTTACAAAAGTCCCCTTTGTTGTTCTTCAACTAAGCAGGACCTTGTAACGTCATTTAAAATAGCAAAATTAGAACAAAGGAACGTTTGTTCAAAGCAGGCTGGAATACAACAACAACTTGGATTTATATAGCGCCCTCCACGCCGGATGGCGTCTCAGAGCGCTTTACAGTAACGGATCCTCAGACCGAGCCAGGGGGAGGGGGAGGAAGGTGACCGAAGGCGCGAATATACATGAATATATGACCGAAATACTCAACCAGTGTGCAATGTGCTCACAAGGGATTGAATGTGGAGAAAAACACAAAAGCTTAATAAATGAACATTCATTCATATAAATCTTGGAAATCATTCTCCCAATGGTGCCTACAATGTAAAGGGGGGGAAAAAAACAACCAAAGAGATACGGTATGCAACAAAAACTGAACCGGGATGTCAAACAGCAGCTTTGTGACAGTTTGGAAATAATACAAATTGCAGAATTTATACCCCATCACAGGTGTGGCTCAACCTCCTGGTGTACTGCTCCTAACGTGCCTGGTCATCTCACAACAGCTTGCAAAGCAGACATCTCAGATCTTTTAACTACATGAAGAACACTGCTGTATATAAGTCCCAAGTTGCTTGGGGGCTCTCCCTGTTGCAAACATTTACCTATTTTGCCCTCTCTGGTCCAGGCTGCCTTCTCCTCCTCTTCCACTGTGATGTACTTACCAATATCCACACCAGACCCATCCTTTGGGACAGACAATTTGTTGCTCTGTTCAGTTCTATCACTATGGTATTGTGGGGACGTTTCAAATTCCTCCCCTTGATTAAAGGGACAACAGCTCTGACCTGGATTCAAATACTCACTTTTCTGTGTGTCCTCTCAGCTGTAAAAGCTCCTTCTTAATGATCTTTAATAAAGCCTTAACAGGTTATGCTGGACTTTTCCCTTTTTTTTTCCACCCAAAAGTATAAACGGGGTTTGCAAAGAGTTGGGGTTACTATGAAACCTCCCAATATTGTGCCCAGTTGATGAACCGCTAATATTTTGTTAAAACCATGCAAATACAGGAATGTTGGACTGACTGTCCACATCTGATGCCATCAAACAGGAGTCATTCATCGCTTATTGACGCCCAAGAAAAAAACACGCTTCTCCACACAGCAGTTTACATCATTCCCAGACTTTTTTTAAAAAAAAAACGAGTTAAGATGCAAAGCAATCGTGCTGGAATTAAAGAGCACATTACAAGCAAGTGATGGATTATTTCCCCCCCCCACCCTCTCCACCACCACCCAATGTAAATAAAATCTTCCCTTCGGGCAAGATAAGTGCAACACAGACCCCTTTGACTATAAAAAGCGTTCCTTAGTTTGTTTGCATTATTAGCTCTCCAAAACTTGTGTGTGTGCGCGTGTGTGTAAAAAAAAGTTGCACCATATTTAGTAAGCTTCAGGCTGATGTTTCCATATCCCATATCCGGTATGTTGTCGGAATTCCATAATACAAGCTGCATTCCTTTTTTGGGAGTTTAATCCTCTCGCCTTCTCTTCTGGGGCCAAATGCAAAGTACACAGTGCCCACTTGTCGCTTGATTTACTGTATGCAACCAATAATTCGCACTGCAACCCCACTCCCCCTCCATCTGCATCGACCGGCTTTTTGCAGGGCAAAGCCATTCTTTCCCATGATTAGCTATAACCTTCTCGTTATTTATCGCACACCAGCCACAGAGAGAGAGAGAGAGAGAGAGAAGTAAAACTGCAAGGTTTTCCTTTTAAGGCTAGCAGGATGGTCTGGATTGGGGAACAGTGCATCGCAACCAAAAAAGAAAGCCTGTGTGTGGGTGGTGTCAATACAACTGGGCTCAGAAAGCTGGATGGCAGGGTCCAGGGTTCTTTTTACATTATTTTTTTATTGTTGTTCCAGAATTTAAAAAAAAGTATTTTTGGTCACATGCGAGAGGAAGTGCATCCACCCACTCTGGACCTAATAACTGCACAAATATATAAAAGTTCTTGGGTGTCTTTCAGAAATAAGAGTATTTATGCTTTTCTTTCTGAGCAGCTCCAGTCCAAAACATTCCCCCCCCCCCCCCCACCACCACCCCTGACTGGGTGGGCAGGTGAGCTTTCAGCCATTCTGCCCCTGCTATAATAATAATAATAATAATAATAATCCTTGCATTTGATATAGCGCTTTTCACGTCGGGAGGTCTCTAGAACTCCATCTCAGAGTCCCTCCAACTGGTTCCTTCCCTCCCTCCCTCCCCTCATTCAAGCCCTGACTCAAAACATGCCTCTTTGACCGCACTTTCATTCAGCTTTACCCTCACCCACCCCACCCTCCTGGGCTCCTACCCTCAGCACAGACGCTGTCTAGCAATGTCAGGTGTTTCGAGATGTTCTTCCAACACGAAAGATGCTATGTAAAGAGATTGCATTGTATCTTCATCCCTTCAATATGAAGCGGATGGAAATAGAACTTTAAAACATTGCTACATTAAGATATTGGAACTATCCAAGTTTTATTTACTCAGACACCTTTACAATACTAATGCTGTGCACACTTTACAACAACAACAACAAGATTTCATTTATATAGAGCGCCTTTCACGTTGGGAGGACGTCCCAAGGCGCTGGACAGTTGGATCGTTACATAAGAACATAAGAATTGCTAGATGAAAGAAGACCAAGGTCCATTCAGTTCTCCTTCCACCATCCTGGCAGTCGCATGCACATGTCATGTCCCAACCTATATACTGGACACTTTCATTCCAGCGGAATTGGTGTTTGCACTTTAAAACAGCCGATCTAAAAGTGTGTGAAGGATATAACCTGATATTTGGAGAAGCATAAATCTGTGGGTCATCACTCTGCCCTTTCTTTCACACTGGGCCTAGGTCCTAATCCATCAGAGATGGTGGTCTCTCATCTCTCTGCTCGCTGTTTGTGACGATTCAATTCAAAACTGTCCCAACCTATTTCCTCGTAAAACCGACCATAATTGGGAATCTCAATGGTTGCTCGATCACTTCAAATTTTCAAGAGAGCGGTGGATAGGATTTGATAGGTACGGGGTATCAAGGGATACGGACCAAAGGCAGGTAAATGGAGTTGAGGAACAGATCAGCCGTAATCTAATTAATAGAATGGCGGAACAGACTCGAAGGGCTGAATGGCCTACTCCTGTTCCTATATTCCTTTGGAGAAAATGGAAACATTTTGGTATATTGAAAGATCCTTTCCTGTGATGTGACTTTCCAAGTCTGGAAATTCCCGAGACTGATACTGGGTGGAAAAAAAATGCACCCCCTTCTTCACAACAGGAGAGAGAGAGAGAGAGAGAGAGAAAATGCCTCCACTGCGATCCCGAAGAGTATTAAACACAGGACACTGGGAAAAGATACAACAAGTCCATCTATGGGAACTGAAGAAGTCAGTTACATAAACAGACTGGTGCAAAATACATTCTGGCACAATGCTATTTGTGTTGTATTTTTTGCAGTTATATTGCAAAAACTAATTTTAAAAAAATAGAGTGTCCCTAAACAGACACACAGGGAGTTGAGGGAGGGAGGGAGTTGAGGGAGGGAGGGATTGGGGCAGTAGTTCCCATTCTCGGTGATTTCCTAATGAAATCAATATAATGTAAAGGTTAAGTGGTGACCACAGTGTTTCTCTCCCCTGTGGGGAAGGAGGAGCTGTTGCTGCTCCTGACGCTTTGGTTAAATAGTGAAGTGCTGGAGGCTGCAGTTACTCTGACTCTCTCTGGATGAGAGAGAGAGAGAGAGAGAGAGCTACTCCTGGACCCCTTCTCACTCGGACTCTGATCAGCTGTCACATCCCACCAGTCTTCAGTGAGTATCCATCGCCGACCAAATGCATCGTTTCGTTCGTTAGTTTAGAACTGGACGAAGGAAGCCTTGAATTAACGGAGCAGCGAAGACCTTTGGGGCTGTGTTTAAAGACCTTATGCTCCCAGTCGGCGCTGAGCTGTTTAATGCAATGGTTAACAGTGTTTAGCAGTCGTTAGGCTGACGACTGCATCGTTACGTTTTGCTGCAAAGAGTATCTTTATGTAGTCTTCGAAACGTATTTGTGGTTTGAGTGCCTTTTTATTTGGAACCAAATCCTGAATGACACAGGTCTGTCTGGGGGGGGGGGGGGGGGGATGAGGAGGGGGGGGGGGGGGGAGCAGGGTCCTGTTTGGGGGGTGCAGTGTTTGGAATAGATTTGGAATACTCTTGTGCTTTATTTTTTTAAAAAAACACATGTTTTGCACAACCAGATGATGGGCAAACAGCAGGAGGCAATGCCCAAATTGCTTCTCTCTGGGACGAAAGTAGTAGTAGTAATAGTAGTAGTAGTAGTAGTAGAAGAAGAGGAACACTTTATTGGAGATTCGGTCACTTGGTTTATTGCCAGAAACTCCCAATGTCACGAATTGGGTGAAGTGTGGGTGAGAGATGCTGAAACCCTGGAGAAATGTGTTACTGTGTTAAGCTGAGAGAGGGGGAGAGAGAGAAAGAGAGAGAGAGAGAGAGAGAGGGGTAAATGTGCTGTGAGTACCTTAAGATGCCTTGTAGGACCCAGGGTAAGGATGCATTGGAAGTACATTAGTCAGTGAAGCTGTTTTAATTTCACTCTGTGTCCTTCTGTGTTAAACACTCACCTTTTTAACCTGCACTAAGGTTTTAACACTACCTGTACTTGTAAAAAGGGATCAATGAGGAGGAGGGGATGGGGAGGAGGGGGTGGTGGGGTGGGGGGGGGGTTGTAGGCGATTCAAGCTTGAAATCAGAGTGTAACATTGGGGAGAACCACAAGTAAAACGGTTCCATTTGAAGCTGAAACAGCCATAAGTGACTTCCACCAAATCCAAGGCTGTGGATAAGGAACGTGTCCTTATTTGATTAAGACGCCGCTTGCTTCCCAGCTAGACGTGTAACCCCCGAGCATCCCTCCCTTCACTGACATTATTATTCCCTACAAGGCGTTCAGTTCGGTTTTGTTTGCAGTTCGTTAAAACCATTACGTGTTTCTTGGGGGGTTTTTTGGGGGAGTAATCACGAGTTGGTGGGAACGTAACCATACATGGTAAAGGGCTGGTGTGGAGGGAGGTACAGCCTCTCCATCCTCTGTATCATTCACATCACACGATTAAATACCCTAAAGCCCCCCTCCCTGCTATCATGATAATATAGTCATTATAAGTCAAGGAACTTAGGAGAGGTCCCCTCCCACCCCCACCCACCCATCCAAGGAAAAGCGTGCGCATAGAGACATTAAGGCTTAGTTCAAACATGCTGTAAAATATGACAGTAATTACCATTTAAATAGGGTCTTAATAATGCACATTTCAGTATGCATTCAACACCCCCCCCCCCCCCCCCCCCATCCACCACCACCCCCTCCTCGTGTCTTATTGCTATTGATCCTGTGCAACACAATTTGTGGATACTTTGCAGTAACTCTCAGTTCACTGGCTGGAAGGAGTGTTTTTGCTCCCAGGGACAGTCCAGGACATCTTGTTCTGTTTCTCACCCCCTTGACCATGAGAAATAGTCAGAGGCACTTTCACCCCCAGGGAGGGTTTCTATGTCCAGAATACGGACATGGAAAAGTTTGAGAGTTTAGACTATATTAAACAACTTTCTAATCCAAAAGAAAAACCTTTCTCCTGCACTGTTTTATGGCCAGAGGCTGACGTGTTCGTTTAGTTACCAACTCAGAAATTTTTTTCCCCACTAAAACTATGTACAGGGTAACGTAGCGCGTCGCGCTGAGTAGTGCCTTCAGCTCCCCTCTCGACTCTCTTCCCCCTCCTCGCTCCCTCCCTTCCCTCACCCTGACCATTTCCCCCCAATGCTCGGGTCATGACCCAACTGTGCAGCGCCTTGGGACGTCCTCCTGACGTGAAAGGCGCTTTATAAATGGAATCTTGTTGTTGTTGTTGTTGTAGTGTTCCCATTCTTAAGGAAACGAAAGAATTGGAGAATGATTTCTAACATGGTAGATAACAGGGTGGCTTTTTTTTTCAAAAAATCGGTTCATTGCAAAACGCTGGACAGTTGGTTTGGAGCATCCTGTTTTCATTTAACTACTAAAAACCGAACAAGAGATTTAGGGCAGTCAAACCCCCTGCATCCCCTACAGGATCCAGAGGCATTAAAACAAGGAAGTGTGTGGTACAAAAAGACCATTCTGCACATTAAACCCGTTCCCTTCAATGGCCTTGTGGTAATCCAGATCATAGATAGTAGACCACACCCAGTACACTCTGCCAATGTTCTCCCAGAGCGAAACCCAGCAAAACTCCAGAAAACGTCTCCGATCGCACATTCTACATCCTTGGCAACTTGCCTTCCTTGCATGACATTCCCATGCTCCCATTGACACATCAGCTTTCGCACAACAACAACAACTTGCATTTATACAGTCGGAATAATACATCGCCTTTCGCATCAGATCTCATTCTGACCAGATTCCAGATAAACAATTCCATTGTTTATCTGGAATCTGGAATCGTTCTTAGATCTTGAACTCTGTTCCAAAACTGAATGCCAATTATTTTTGTTTTGATAATAATATAATAATAATAATGAACCTTGCATTTGATATAGCGCTTTTCACATCTTCAAGCCGTCTGCTTGACGGCAGCCAATTGTGCACAGCAGCTTCCCACAAACAGTCATGAATTGAGTGACCAAATTATTATTTTTTTAAAAAGATTATTATCCCCAGAAAAGCAATCTATCGATTGACTAACAACCGGTTCCTACTTACTTAGATAAACAGTGGCATGTGGAGTAAGGAAACTTGCCCAACATTTCACCCTGCCGGGAATCAAACCCAGGTCTCTCGCTTGCAAGGCGAGTGCTCTAACCACTGAGCTGATGGCCTTATTTGGAATAGCCTTCACTGCTAGATGAAAGTCCACTCCATATATCAAGAGTCCTAGATAAAATTTTCCAAGTTCAAATCTGGCTTGAGGCTTGTTAATTTTAAGGTAATTAAAAGTCTGACTTGTGTGCCATTTTCATCAGGAGAGTTGGAATTGTCCAAGCCGCGCTATTGTCCTTAGTGAGGTCTTCTAATGTTTATTAGGGTGTCAGTCTGGCTCAAATGATAGCACTCAAATCTGGGTTAGGTCCTGAGGTGAACTTTTGAAAAGAGAAGGAGTTTTTTTTTGGTTTCCTGTTCAAACAATTCTCCACCTTGATTAGGCATTCATTTAAAAAAAGAACTTTTATGGTAATCTGAGTACAATTCCCCTGTTTTTAGCATGGATCAGTTTTGCAAAATACTGGGGTGGATTTGAAACGGTCAAATCTTACTTCAAAACTAGAATCTCAGTTTAACCGGTTAAGCAAACCCTATACACAATCCTAAGCAAGATAAAATTGGTCATTTACTTCATGGCTGTTCATGGGATATTGCAAATTGGCTGTCACATTCGACAAATAGACAGTCACTCACTGCACTTTACAATAAATCTTTGAGATGGTTTGACAATCTGAAAAGGTAAAGGTTATTATAAAATGTTAGGATTACTACATTATGATTGGTTTACACTCTCTATTGAGTGACAGGTTTGTAAAACAATCTAAGGGTAGTTGTTGGATGAGAACAGAATTGGACATGGTCACCATTCAGACTAACACATATTATTGTGTTCTTTATCGTTCAAATAAAAATAACCTCAAAAAACAACTTGGGGAGTAACTTGTTCAATTCATTCCTTAGGTCATTACTAAGACATCATGTCTGGAAGCCAGCTCAGCGATACTGAAAAGTTTCTCTTTGTGGATAAAAACTTCATGAACGATCCACTGGCCCAGGCCGACTGGTCAGCGAAGAAGCTCGTCTGGGTGCCCTCGGGACGCAATGGCTTTGAAGCTGCAAGCATCAAGGAGGAAAAGGGGGACGAAGTCCTTGTTGAATTGATGGAAAATGGGAAGAAAGTAACAGTTGGCAAAGATGACATCCAGAAAATGAATCCTCCAAAGTTCTCCAAAGTGGAGGACATGGCAGAACTCACGTGCCTGAATGAAGCATCGGTGCTGCATAATCTGAGACAGAGATACTACTCGGGGCTAATCTATGTGAGTAAACTATTCACTAGTTTGGGGCAGGGGTGAGGTGTCTAGGTGTTTAATAGCATGCAGATGCAAAGCCTTTGGTACGTTTGATTTACAGAGTCCATGTTGTAAAACTGGCAAAGTCTGCAAACTGAATGGAGGATCTGAATAAAGGATCTAAAAAGGCACTACAAACAGGCACTATTTTAAATTGAAATCACATTATACATTCAGTTTAGAAACAGGAGTAAGCTATTCAACTCCTCAAGCCTGTTCCCCCATTTTATAAGACCATGGTTGATCATCTGTACCTCGAGTCCAGTTATCCAGCCTTGCCCCATATCCCTCAATACCCTGACCTGACAAATATCTATCTATCGCCTTCTTTAAAAGTCTTAAACAACATGAAAATAACAGAGCAATTTTAAATCTTGTGTAGGCCCACATTAGACATAGGAGGATTTAGCCAGTTAATTTACGTTATGATATGCACATCAAAGGAGAGTGTTAGAAACAGTGTATAGTTTACAAAATAAAAAAAACTCAAAAGGTTTTTTACGGACTAAGGTTTCAGCAACAATTAGACAAGAGATAGGGCTCTTCAGGCCTGGAAAAGAAATGTTTCAGAGGCATTTAATATTTTGGATGTGATTGAGAAAATAAATCCTGAACAATACTTTCATACATCCCAAGCAGCAGAACAAGAAGACACTAGTTTGGGATTGCAAATAGCAATTTCAGGACGGACACCAGGAACATTTGCTCAGAGGGAAATGACTGGAACAGGTTACCAGGAAGGGTGGTTGAGGCCAGGATGCAGCACACAAAAAAACCTTATTGCTGTGATGGGAAGACAGTAGGGCGGGTATTCTGGAAGGATGAGATCAGTAGGGTCAAAGGGTCTTCATCATCCCATCATCTCTTGTGGTCTTGTGAAAAGAGATGCTATTCCAACTATTCCATTCTGGCTATTTCCCATCCTATACGATCTGTAATGCGCATTACTCGACGGTGTTTGAAGTGTTGGTAATGCAGTGAAATGGCAGTGTGCAAGAAGATTGCAAAGAAAGGTATTGATAATATTTGTCTTGCTATTCACAAACACTGTTATGATAACTAAAAANGGGAAGTTGAATTTGGCTTCGTGTTGCCAGGCTGTTCTCCGTTGCAATCCTATCCAGTGTTTTGCTTGGAAAACTTCCCAAAAAATAGGAATAGCTGAACACATTGCAACAAAATTCCAGGACATAGGGAGTAGATTATCTACCTTAATCCGATTCACATTCAGACATCTGTTAATTATGACTAGTGATCATGAAGACATCACAGATTGTAATTTTCTGTCCGTTTTAAAAGTTGTTCTTCCTTAGTAATGCCCAATGTATGTATGAGTGTCAATCGACGCTGAATAAAATGAAAAGGTATCAGTATACAACAAACTGAATATTCTTACTAAATGTGTTAAGTGGATTGATATTCGGACCTAAAATGTGACATGTGCATACCAGAAGTTGTTGAGCTAATTGTACTTTCCGGGTTTCCACTTGAAATTGCACAATTCACTACCGAATTTATTAAAATAAATTGTGCTCCTGAAAGCTAGCAAAGGGCTATTTTGAGGCTGAGATTTTGCTTTCCGACCTTGTGCTGAACTTTTCTAGCCTTTTCTCAGTTGAGAAACAGTGCAAAAGTGAATTGCTGGGGTAGTGTAGGTCAGAGACTTCAAGTTTGCAAACCTCTGTTTAGATTTTTTTAGAGTATTTTTATGTAATAGTATTTAGTTAGAAACGGAAACATAGAAAGTGACATGCAGTTTATAGAAACGCCTCACTTTGATCATTTTCGGACAAATTAGTATTAATTTGAAGTGCTGAGAGAATACGGAATTTAAACAAAGATCGGGACAAATTTTATTTATATAAATGTCAAAGAGAACCCTGTAATGCATTCGTTGTCTATGAATTTTTAAAGAGGTGTGAATAGAAACGGCTTTGTGACTTGTGCTTTATAAGGATGAATTTGGTGAAAGAAGGAATACATGCTTCATTCAAGGACATTTCTAATAATAATATTCCTTGCATTTGATATGGCGCTTTTCACATCTTCTAGACATCTCAAAGCGCTTCACGGAATATACTGTAAATTAAATTGACTGTATATTTGTGGGCGAAACACGGTAGCCAATTGCGCTCAGCAGCATCCCACAAACACTCGTGGATTGAAGTTCATTATTTATTATTGTTTTATTTTCTTGAGGAATTATGATCAGGCGTGTGGAGTAAGGAAATTGCTCAAGGTTTCGCCCTGCTGGGAATCGAACTCGGGTGTCTCGCTTGCGAGGCGTGTGCTCTAACCACTGAGCTTCAGCACTTCTACAGTAGCAAATGCATCTTGTACTTAAGTAGAAACAGTAGATTTCTAAAGTGATATCAGTCACATAACCTGGGACTTTGTTATTTTCATTTGCCTAATGAAAATGACATTCAGTTTACGTATTAAAGCCAATTACTGGAAGCTTGCATTGCTACTTTCATTTCACTCAAAGAACTTCTAGATAATTGGATATATCTAAAAAAAGAATAATGGAAAGGCCTAAAAGTGATGCATTTCATCATCCTGTATAAAAGCAACCTCAGAATGTGTAAACTGAAAGCATGTGTTTGTTACATTTTCCATTTGAACATCTACGCGAGATGGAACGTCAGTGTAGTGGAGGAGCCAAGCACTTGACTCTCAACCAGAAGCTATCATGTTCACGTTGCAGACCTATAATCACTCAAACTCACATGGATGGGGTTTCTTTCCAGTTGTTAGCATCCTGGATGAAATACTTCATGGAGGAAGGGCAGTGTCAGTGTTTAAGGTATAAGCGAGGAAATTGAAATCAGAAAGGCGTTATGCAACCCATGCCTTCCCTTCACATCAAATGTGAATTACAAATTCAGTTCAATAAAAACATAATTTTTTTAACATAGTCCTGAAGAACATGCACATAGGGACATAAAGTACATGGAAGACAGAAGGGAACAGTTACATTTATTGGGGGGAAATGATCTGGAAGGACCTAGTGTCCTTTCCTTTGTGTGTGTTATAATGACACCACATGTAACACAAAAAATAATACTGTATAATAATCCATAGATTTGGTGTAGCGCCTTGCACGTAATAGTCTTAGGTATACAATAGTCTTGCAACACATGATTTTATAGAGATTATTCTCATTTTGTTCCAATTTCCAGCTTTCTTTTGCCTTTGAGTTTTGCCACTTTCTAAGTCAAAAATAGTTTTCAGTGCTGGGTTTGGCTGTGTGGCTTCCTCTCACATGACAGTGTTTTTGTAACCTTTTTTAAGTTTGTAACAAGAATAGGGAGTTATACTCAACAATCCGATGAGGAGTTTTAAGCACATACCAAATTTGCTCGGCGAAAGAAGACCCAGGTCCATCTAGTTTGTCCTCCCACATCTTGGCGGTCGCTTGACATGTCGTGTCCCAAACTATATACTTATCTAAAGTAAGAGAGTATCAGTTTTATTGGGTTATATATAATGCCCCTATGTATATATTCATTGATCATGAACAATCTGATGTTTGGAAGCTGTAAATAATTGTGCATTGCTGTTATTTCTTTTCAGACATACTCAGGTCTTTTCTGTGTGGTCATAAACCCATACAAAATGTTGCCCATCTACTCTGAGAAGATTGTAGACATGTACAAAGGAAAAAAGAGACATGAAATGCCACCGCACATCTACGCCATTGCAGACACCGCTTACAGGAGCATGATGCAGGGTAAGACTGGAGCTAATCTATTGCTTTTTGCTGATCCATCAGCTTATGGCGTATTAGTAGAATCGCCTTGTTATTCACCTTGAAATAGGAGCTATGTTCAAAAGCTGTCAGGACATTCAAGTTAAGCGGTGGGATTTGAATGACTGCATGGATGGAATTCAGTCCATGGGTTCTTCGGATTCCACTGATGGACTAGTCAATTCCATGTGTGCAAGAAAGAGATACAAACACTGATTAAATTATACCACAAGTGTTACCAACAGTTTAGATTGCCGACTAAACTAGAGGAATTTGATTTCTTCCTCTGCTGTCCTCTGCAGACTACCCAGATATTCCCTTTGATAATTCTGTTACGTTAGAACAACATTGTAAAGTGTACACACATTGTTGTGCACATTACTGTTTCACAGAAATGATTAGAGACATATGACTAACCATCCAGTTCAGGGTAATTATAGTTAAAGGAAAACTGGCAATGATTATAGGCACAAAACTATCAAAAAGGTTAAGGACGTCAAACTATAACAGGAAAACCTGTTTATTCCCTTGATCTGAATTCCAAGATTACTCTTAACTGCAAGGAAACTCAATGTATACATGGAGAACGGAGGAGGGGCATGTGGAGTATAAAGACTGGCACAGAATGTTTTCATGCTGTTTCCATAAAGTGCTATATAAACCCGGCTAACAATTTTCCCCCAGATAAAATTGATCATTCACTTCATGGCTGTTTGTAGCACATTGCTGTGCACAAATTGGTGCCATGTTCACTAATAAAATACAGTCAGCATACTTTACAGTAATTCCCTGTAATTTCTTTTAAAAGTTGTTTAGATTTGATGAGCCTTACTCCATTCTGGCATCACTTATGTATTGGCAGGATTGTTGGCTCAAATATATTCAATGCACTTAACACTCACACTGAAGGATTAACCACTCCAACATCATCTCTACAAATTCATCCAGAAAAATATTGGTACTTGTTTATTTGAAAATTGTATACCCAATCTATATTGGAGCTAAGTTCCTTTTGAGAGTAACAGAGGATTTGTGTACCGCAATGAAAATTTATCACAAGAATATTTAGATTAACTTTATGACTGTTAGTGAAAAATTACCAACAATCTAGAGAAATAGACATGAGGCATTTCTTCCTAGTGGGTGTTTGAAACCGCAGAGACCCCATATTTGTGTTTTAATAAGTAAACAGCTATCTTGCTGGTATTTTGCATGGGTCAGATTGCATAATCTTAACCAGATGTTGTGCATAATACTTTTTAAAAAAAACTTGTGAGGTCGAATTAAACCGCACATTAATAATGGAAGAATTGTGTGCGTAAAACAGAGAAAGTAAAGTTCAGAACACTGAAGTACAAAAGCAAGTTACTGTTGATACAATGGTCATTGTAGATGGTTAGTTTCTATTAAATGGACCAGTACTTATTGTTGGAAGCAATAAATACAGCAAATGAGTAGTTTCGTGTCTCGGAATATGTGTACTGCCCAGGTAGTAAGCGCAATATTTTCCTAGCCCCGAGCATTGTTGTTTAATTTTGTTGTTTCATTCTTTCATCGTTGAACCCCGATGTCAGAAAGAGCTTGCATTTTTATAGCAGCTTATCATATCGAACAATCGCAAACACTTCTCCAGCAGTTCCTGTCAAATGTATAAAGTAGGCAAACACGGCAGCCATTTCTGCCGGCAAAGCTCCACTAAACAGCTGTGAGGTGAGTGACCAATTCATGTTGGAGGAATGTTGGCCACATAAATGAAATGTAATTCTTCCCTCACTAATCACAAGTACAATGAGTTTAGGGAGCTTTAATCTCGGGCCAAGCTGACTCCAGCCATCTGAACTTGATACTGAAGCCAGGCAGATACAGATGCACACAACAACAACAAATTGCACTTATATGGTATCTTTCACATTGGGAGGATGGAGACTTTCTCACTATAACACAAGTTGAATCTAAGGAGAACCCAGAACAACAACAGCAACACAGCCACCATGGAGGGGTGCAGATGCCTGGGTTTGAGGTCAGTCACTGCCATCCTCTTACAAACCAGTGCACTCACAATCCCTCCCCACCTCCGCACACTCTAACCGTTAACCAGCCATGTGGCCTAGACCTCACGCTCCTTGCTCTGAGGCCGGCCAAGATCTCCACCCTTCTCAGCCCAGCCCTGGGGATGGGGATCACCTCCTAAAGAAGGCACAGGCTTCAGCTCTCTATCCTTCCCGCCCTGAGATCCTAATACCTGCTGCAATATCAATTGCATCAATGGAGTTGAAAAAACACATAGTTCTCTATTGGATTTACAAATAGAGGTTTAGCTAACAAGGAATTTTGCCAGTAAGCGGCTCTTTGTTAACATACAGGATGTCTGCTTGGAAATGGCATGAGAAGATTGTGGGATTTCCATGATTTGGCCATGGGTCACTATGGTTACTTCAGAATTACCCATTAGCAGCCAACAGAAATGAGATATGCATTACATGCATAAGAAGTTAACTGGCCAATTGCTTAATCACTTTCTGGATCCTAAATGCAACAGTCAACAAAGTTGTTCAACGGTAGAACACAATCTTAATTGTTTTGCTGCCAAATTAGGTCGTTTAAGCTTTGCAACCACTGCCATAAACATTCGGTACATTTTTTTGGGATGAATTCCTGAACCTCTCCTAATAACACTCGCCATCTAATTCTAGTCACTGTTTCTTATTAAAGAAGTATTGACTTCACTTCTAATCACTTCCTGCAGGGTTTTTAAACCTAGACATTGGGCCATTGAGCAGTAACCCTTGCAAGAACTATGGCAATATGCTTAGCAAGTGATAATGAGCATAAAAAAATTGTCCTTGTTAAAAGAATACAAATATAAATTGAACATGTCTAGTCATAGCTTTTGTTAGTCGTAGATGGTGTATACACGAGCTATAAATAAGCTTTGTATGTATCGTGCAAAAACCAAGCGCAACCAGAAACAATTGACTTTCCTGCTAGATTAAGCCATGTTTTCAGCAGAGGAGCATGAGTGAAGACATGATTAGACTATCAGCCTGAGCCGTGTTGTGCGTCTGAAAAGCTCTGGGCAAGGCAGTTGCAGATAAACCAATAGAACATGTCAGCAACAACTCACAGTAGTGAGAGAGAGTTTTCAGTGTGGCGGCAATACAGAAATGTTAGGAAGTAACAACAACAGCAAGATTACATTTGTATAGCACCTTTCATGTCGGGAGGACGTTCCAAGGTAAATAGGAAGTAAACAGGATCTTAGCTTGAATTTTGTTGATATTTCAATGTACCTTACATTGATGTAAAGATGATCTTCCTACTGACTTTTTTTTGTATAACTTCCACTCACCAACTAAAGAACTCTTTCAGCCAGGAATACCACAATGAAGCAAATGATAGAGCTCTCATCTTGTGTGGATATTAGCCTTCTGGTTTTTACTTGGAAAATAATTATTTTTAAAAGCATTTTTTTAATTCAAAGAGAAATAAAAACGTAGGTTGGAAACTGCATCCTAAGTATACGTCCCCTTACTTACTATATTGGATTGGAAACGAACAATATTTGTTCTCTTGATTTTATTTGGAAGATCTATTGACCAGCACATCAGGAAAAAGTCCCTTCTCTTTTCAAATAGTGCCTTGGGATCTTTGACGTCCACCTGAACAGGCAGACAGGATCTCAGTTTAACATATCATCTGAAGGATAGCACCTCTGGCAATGCAACACTCCCCCAACATTGCACTAAAGTGCTAACCTAGACTGTGAGATCAAACTAGCAACGTGGGGCTTGAGCCCACAACCATCTGACTCAGAGGCAGAGTGCTACCAACTGACCCAAGTTGACATAGGAAAGGAGTTGCAGAAATTTGGGCTCCAAACCTAGCATTTGGCTTTCAAAAACATCTAATTGTATTGATTAGAGTGGAATAGATCTAAGAGAAACAGCAAGGTTTGAGAAAATCACAGTATTTCCGTTAAAACAAAAGAAACATTGTAGAGAGAAAAAAAAAAGGACCTTTCAGATCAGCTCGTACTCTTAAACCTTGCCCCACGCAACCTTCAATTACAGCAAGGCAGGTTGGCTGAATTCTCCCTGCACGCTCGAATTGTGAACAGATGCAGAGTGACGGTCACAGCTGGGTGGTCAATTAAGTTAACTATATTATAACATTCCGAGAACATTTTTAATTTGGCTGAACCCACTTTCAAATGTGGTTTCGAAGCCGAGACAGGAAATGTTTTCTTGGTTTCTTTTCTCTCCATTTTCACACGGTTATACTATTTGCTGGTACAGTAGTGACTGTGAGTAGTGAACCTGTTCCCGTGTCTCAGGCTTTGCTGCTCTGTAACAATCTTCTGCTAGGATTTGCATGAGAGTACACTGTTGTTGTAACTTTTCTTTAAATCCCTTCACGCCCTCCCTGTGTGAACCAGCTAACGTATACTTAGTGCTTACATCAAATGAAATGGCTGAACTAACCCATGTTAGTGGTTAGAGAACTCGCCTCGCAAGCGAGAGACCTGGGTTCGATTCTCTGCTTCTGTTTACCTAGCAATATACAGGAACCTGGTTGTTGGTCAATTGGTGGATCACTTTTCCGGGGGTAATAATTCTTTCAAAAATAAAATAACAATAAATTGGTCACTTCAATCCACGACTGTTTGTGGAACACTCCTGTGTGCAATTAGCTGCAGGGTTTCACCTACAAATATACAGTCAATTCACTTTACATTTGAGACGTCTCGAAGAAGTGATAATGCGCTATATCAAATGCAAGTATTATTATTATTATATCATACCATGCCACGACATTTAAACCTGTTTGGAGAAATCCTCTGTCTATTAAGTCGCCTCATCTTTGCTCATTGAACAAAAGATTGAATTGAAAACTATGCAAGCTAAATGGGACTGCAATTTATTATACAAATTGTACAGGTTGACCTGCCAAGTCTCATCTTTTGGAATGAAACTTGATATTTT